AAATAAAAAAAAAAAGAATTATTTCTCCACACCATGCCAACGATTAACGCAAGACTACAACACCGATCTACTCTCGACAAGATCCGGTACCCTTTTCAACGTGGCTCCCACATCCTCTCGAGAGTGGGGGGCTTGCGAGACAACTCCCACGAGGAGCCAACTCGCGCAGTAATACAACCCGCAGCGAGACAACTCCCACGAGGAGACAGCTCGCTCGGTCCTACAACCTCTTACAAGGAAACTCCCACGAGGAGCCAACTCCCTACGAAACCATAGCGAGTTAACTCCCACGAGGAGACTACTCGCTCTGTCCTATAACCCGTTGCGAGGCAACTCCCACGAGGAGCCAACTCCCTCGGGTCTCAACGCCATAGCGAGATAACTCCCACGAGGAGCAAACTCGCTCGGCCCTACACACTCGTTGCGAGACAACTCCCACGAGGAGCCAACTCGCTCGGAACTACAACCCGTAGCGAGACAACTCCCACGAGGAGATAACTCGCTCCGTCCTACAACCCGCAGCGAGACAACTCCCACGAGGAGCCAACTCCCTCGGGTCTACGGAACCATAGCGAGATAACTCCCACGAGGAGACCATTCGCTCCGTCCTATAGCCCGTTGTGGGACAACTCCCACGAGGAGCTAACCCCCTCTAGTCTCAAAACTACAGCGAGACAACTCCCACGAGGAGTCCACTCGCTCAATCCTACAGCCCGTTGCGAGACAACTCCCACGAGGAGCCAACTCGCTCGGTCCTACGAACTCACAGCGAGATAACTCCTACGAGGAGACCACTCGCTCCATCCTACGACCCGCAGCGAGGAAACTCCCACGAGGAGCCAACTCGCTCGGTCCTACGAACCCACAGCGAGATAACTCCTACGAGGAGACCACTCGCTCCATCCTACGACCCGCAGCGAGGAAACTCCCACGAGGAGCCAACTCGCTCGGTCCTACGAACCCACAGCGAGATAACTCCTACGAGGAGACCACTCGCTCCATCCTACGACCCGCAGCGAGGAAACTCCCACGAGGAGCCAACTCGCTCGGTCCTACGAACCCACAGCGAGATAACTCCTATGAGGAGACCACTCGCTCCATCCTACGATCCGCAGCGAGGAAACTCCCACGAGGAGCCAACTCGCTCGGTCCTACGAACCCACAGCGAGATAACTCCTACGAGGAGACCACTCGCTCCATCCTATGATCCGCAGCGAGATTACTCCCACGAGAAGCCAACTCGCTCGGTACTACAACCTACAGCGAGATAACTCCCACGAGGAGACAACTCGCTCGGTATCCCTACCCGCAGCGGGACAACTCCCACGAGGAGCTAACTCGCTCGATATTACAAATCCGTTGCAAGGCAACTCCCACGTGCAACCACCTCGCTCGATAATAAGACTCGCTGCGAAACAACTCCCACGAGGAGACAACTCGCTCAGAGCAACCTCAATCCACACGCGCCTAAATCGCGCATCATCCAATGCTCCTACAACTTCGCTCAAGACAACTCCCATGAGGAGACAACTCGCCCGAAATTCACCATATAATCGCAAGCTCAAGTTAGCACGATTACAATCCTAGAAGCACTTAGAGATATTATGAGAATCTATATAGCCTGGCCAGCTTGATTACTCAAATTTATCTACTTGTTTTCGATGGGTCATTCATTAAAACGTGGCCACGGTCCAAACATACTTAAGACCCACGAGGTCTAACAAGGGGCACGACCCCCATATAAAAAAAATCTTGAGAGCCTGATCCCCTCCTCAAGTACATCACGCAGAAAGCTATATGTAAACACATACAAGCAACGCGTCAAAACATTGAAAATGTCGAAAAATAACAACTCCCACGAGGAGAATACTAGCTCCGTGCTACTACATTATCGCGAGACAACTCCCACGAGGAGATAACTCGATCAACACTATTACCCCGCGACAAGATAGCTCCCACGAGGAGATAAATCGCTACTACATCGTCGCGGGACAAAACCGACGACTCGATTAATTTATATTGCGGCAACTTTGTCGCGCTATGCGCCAACGCGCATTCACACCCCTCCGACACACGCTCCAACGCGTTTTCGCATACCATTAGGCCATACGCCAATGATCGACTTCTCCAATTTTTACTCTCGACACGATTTGAGACCCATCACAACATGGCCCCCACATCGACTCGAGAGTGGGGGGCTTAATGATATGCCTAATTGGGCCAACCCAATGGGCCTACAATTTCTTTACCTACTGGGCTACGAGTCCAATATCGAAGACTAATATCACCGAGGCCCAAACACCTTCAAGTAAGGCTTGGGCCCAACAAAGCAAACCCAACCCAATAAACGACATATAAATAGAGGTTTTCCTCATTTTATTAAGGTACGTCCTATTAACTGAGCAATACAAAAACGCGTATTCTCTGGACTATTTCTATGATCAGCACGTCTGACTTGAGCGTCGGAGGGGTTTCCGCCGGATCAACCCCCGGCTTAGTTCATGTGTTCTATGATCGCAGGTACCTCAGGATCATCAAGTTGTCAAGCTACTGATCTGCTTTGCTCTCCCAGTTCATTTTCTACACCACCCTAGATGAGCTATATTTTAGCATCATCAGGCTCCTACTTCTATCCATTTCATATTTAATAATAATAATAATATATAAAAAAAAATATCATTAATGTGTAGTTTATAAATAAAAATTATATAATTTCAAGTTAATCGACATCTGAGCACATGCATCCCTTCTGGTGTTGCCACAAAAATGGGAATCTACTATCTATAAACTAAGAATTAATTCCACTGTCATATATAATAAAATAATTAAATCATCCTCACTTTGATCAAGATCACCACCACCCAATTAATTAATTAACTACCATTTAAAAAATAATTAATATCAAAGAATATACTAATTGTAATTAATTAAATTGGTGGATAGCACGCAGTTTATGAATCGAGGGAAAAAATTAAAGGGGGAGATAACATGTGACACTGTCTGTAATTTAGTTTCCAAGAACAGCATGGGGCATTACATTTATGTCTTCTATACCATATATATATATATATATATATATATATATATATATATATATATATATATATATATATATATATATATATATATATATATATATATATATATATATATATATATATATATATATATATATATATATATATATATATATATATATATATTATTGCAGCTCATGTGAAAAGACCCATGACCTGGTCTGAATATATTAAAATACATATTTTATATAATATATTTTGGGCAAATCCTGCTGGCACTTTTTAACTCATCGTCATATCTTCATTTGTACTTGTGTTTTTTTTTTTTTTTTTTTTTGCATGAGATTTATTCTTAACTTATCCATTTATTTTTCTAGGTTGATCAATTATCTGCAGGTGCTATATATAGATATAATTAAATATAAAATAAATAATATTTATCGTGTAGTAATTTTCCCCTCTAATTATACATGTATGTTTGGCTCCTTGAAACTTGGTGAAAGGCAAAGTTTTGTCTACGTTAGGCTCAAATGGTTTTTCTCATCAATTTAATTAGTATTCTTTGCCAAAACCACCGGCGAAATTCACAATATTTTGTAATCTACCATAAAACATTTATTATCTTCTTTTTTAATTTTATTTTTAAATATATTTATGAAATAGATAAGTGTAAATTTATTAATTAAATCATCACCGATATTATAAAAGAAGATGATTTAACTTATTAATTAAATCATCAACGATATTATAGTACTCTAATTAAGTTCGTGTTTGCAAAAGCTTTTAAAAATAACTTTAGAGCTTTTTTTTTGCTCATAATTTATTTTTAGATGCTTACAAAACCAGCTTTTACTTTTGCTTCCCTTAAAATAAGTTGTTTCAAGCTATTTTATATTTAAGTTCATTTTTCAACATATTTACAAACATTTCAACTTTGAGAAATAGGGTAAATTACAATCACCTCTGAGGTATGATCAAATTACGAAAACCCCCATCTTGTTTGAATTATTACAACCACTTCCCTCAATTATAAATTTTCTTACACATTCACCCTTGCGGTTTCAAATATAGTGGAATCTTCTAGACAATTTGGAATATTCTCAATTTTTTACTCGTTTCATCCGATTCGAGCTCAAATTTTGAAACAAGATGATCATAAGATGTGTTTTTTGGCTTGTATATATCAGATTGTGGTACATTAGAAACTGTATTTTTGCACAAAACACGTACAAACTAGGTATAAGAAGATTCATAGTTGAGGGGTAGATGTAATTATTCAAACATGAGAATTTTTTTTTTTATAATTTGACCATACCTCAGGGGTGGTTGTAATTTACCTTTTAGAAGTAAACACTTAGGGTGCATTTGGATGGAAGGATTTGGGGAAGGGATTTCAAATCCATAATAACAAATCCCTTGGACTTGTTTGGATTGAGGGATTTGGGGATGGATTTCAAATCCACACCCCTCCTTTTTAGTTATGTTTTGAGCAATTGAGGTGGATTTCAAATGACTCCAAAATTGGAGTCATTTCAAATCCCTTCCCCAAATCAAATCCCTCCCCAAATCCTTCCATCCAAACGCACTCTTAGTATACACTTAACTTACAATCACTAACTTCTACTTTTGAATAAGCTTTTGCAAACACCAACTAAGTGTTGTGCTAAAGCCAATATGCCTTCATAAAAATTCATTAATAAGAGGCCTAGTTCCTAAAATGGGCACGATTTCATGAAGTTTAGTTTAATTATAGGCCAAATTTTACGCCGACGCCTCGATTTTCATGACGCAACTTATCGCAAGATCTTCAAATCACATAAAATCAGCCCTAACAAAAGTAGATATTTACATCACCACAAACAAAACTCTATCAACATAAACCTATCATTTCAACTAACTATACAAAGATGCGAAATCGCCAAACCCTAAAATTATTTGTTAAAATCGAATTTAACAACATATAATAGCTAACAAAGCCAAATAGTTTGAACCACATCTAATACCTCCATTACTTCATAAAAGAGAGAACAAGAAACTTCAAAGTATACCTTCTTGTTTTACACGAGCATCTCGATTAAGCTGGTTTCTTCGAAAAGAGAGCTCGTTGAGCAGCATATATTTTCAATTCTGGCAAAAATCATAAACTTCATTGTCAGCACATAGGTAACAAACTTCCCCACAAAAAAAAAAAAAGCACCCGGTTTCACGGTTAATTATCTTTAAAACGAACAAGTCTAAATCATATAAATGCTGTTAATTATAGGTTTTTTTTTTTTTTAAAACAATATATTGTAATACTTTAGTCCCACATTCTTACAATAATGTGTTCATGTGTATGCTTCTTGGTTGCACTAAACTACATGTATCCGAAATTTAAACAAAAAAAAAAAAAAGATAGAGAGGAAAAAAGAAAATCACCTCAGATCTTGCTAATGCGTTTTCTCATAGCACCTCTCGAGAATTTTAATTGCAAATCAGTCCCTACATTTCCTACGCAGGCACCCAACACGAGCTAGCACAAATAATCCTCCCTTTCCACCCCTGCAACATCCAATTCCCATCTTCACCAAACAAAAAATCTTTATTGTACCCATTCTTCACCTTATGCCTTAGCTTCTTCATAAGCTCGTTATTCAGTGGCATCGGTTCGAATCCAGCTCTCATATGCCTAACCTGCCACTGCTTGTACGTCTCGGGCCTCTCCACCCTCTCCGAACCCTCGCACGAAATTACGTTTATAACCTCCCGCCCGTAAAAGTCTTGCTCGAAGTCCATCCTCTGCGGATTGTCTCGTGAGATAGTCGCGTCGAACATATCGAACAGCGCAGAGTAGTGGAACAGAGCCTCCCTGAAACGGGTCACGAAAAACGGGGCGTTGTATGACCCGCTTACGACCGCGTTCACGAATATGTCCGGCTTCATTGATCTAATCAAATTCAGACAAGCATCCCTCGGACTACGGTCAACCGTAACTGTCTCATCCAGCAAAGTACCGAATCGGAACAGACAGTTCACCGCAAGAACCTCGCCTTTCCTAATCTTGAAATCGTCAATCTTGATTGACTCCCAATTTTGAGTTGCGATAACTTGATACTCGAACGGTACGCCGAAGCGCTCGCAGTATTTCGCCAAACGGATCCCCGTTTCTTCCACCCTCTCCGTGGGTCGAAACCCTGGTTGTGGAAATTCGATTCCCGTTATTCTTAGCTTAAGGGGCACGCCGCCCCTTTCAGAGAGATGCTGAATGAGAACCGGCCATTGGAAACCGTAAAGAATACCGAAATCAACTATATGGAGAGTGGTTGCTTCCGAAGCAACCAATCCGATCATTTGATTCGCAAAGCCAATCGACGCTTTCTTGAATGGGCATGCGGAGAGATACACTTGGTAGGCTTTTAATTTTTCAGCGGCGGTGATTTTTCGGCGAGTGAGTGACGCGTAAAGCTCAGTTCCGGTGCCACCTAGGCGGGCCTGAAGACCGATTGCAAACACACTGGCTAATCTCTGGTACACATCGCCTGTGGAAGAAGCGTGTTCGTTAATCTGTTTTAACTGTTCGTACGCAGTTCTACGATCATCTGAGGCAACTGACTGAGCACAGCTAATCAAGAGGGTCCGAAGATCAACTGAATCCTGTTGGGTCTCGTTTTTCTTGGTACGAGATTTTGCACCGTTGGATTCGGTAGGCAGTAATTTGGCATCGGAATCACCGGTGCAAGATACTGGCTTTCCTTTCGTGTCGGTGCAGAGGAGGACTCGGTCGAACATTTCGGATAATTCAACATCTTCGACGTAAATGGCAGACTGTTTGCTGCTTCTTTCCATGTCTAGCGAATCATCTTCGTCTGGATCGTGATGCTTTCTAATCTTACCCTTTAAGCCTTTTGGAGAGTCTTCGGTTTCGTCTTTCTCTTTCTCTACCTTGACTATTACAGACGGAGTGATGTCATCGGATTTTGGAGGTAACTCGTATTTGTCCAAATCGATGATCAATGGATTAACGGTAGGAAGGAATTTATTAGCTTCCTCCATTCCTTTCTTGAACTGCATGATCGAATCTGCGTCGGTGAACAAATTTTGACCGGAGAAATTATTTTCACCAAAACCAATGGCGTTACTACTGTTTGTGTACTCAGGGGAACTCCGGAAAAAGCTATCGAATGATGGGGCATTATCGTAATTTAGTGGATGACGAGGGGAAGGAGGGTACTGCTGTCCGAGGACTTCGTACAGTGATTTCTCGGTAGCGATTAGGGCAAGTGGGTCGTGGAACATACTAGATTTCTCTTCCATGTTCTCTTCGATTAGTATTTGATTAAGAAATTTGAGAACTGGATCGGAATCTTGATCGTCCGGAGATTCTGTCTCGTAACTTGTAGTAGAAGATAGAGCGAAACTATCCGGATAATCCATTACATTGAGCTCTAGATAATCGTGTATAATACCATTGGTGTGGTTTTGAGATTGCTCGTAATCCGGTGAGAATTTATCGAAATTTTCATCGTCGAAATTGAATCCGTTTGATGTATTGTGGATATTGAATCTGGGATCCATGACAATTTGACGCCTTAAACTACTTCCTACCAAATAAAATGAAATCATAAATGAGTTTTTTAAAAAATCGAATAAAATCGTCTTGCAAAACTGAAAAACCGAGGCATGAATGCAACCTACACTACATTATACGAGAGATCAAACGGAGCAGCATTTCATAAGGTAAAATATCTATTTAACTAAAAAAAAAAAAATTAAAAAAATAATACCTTCCTATACATCCCCCCTACTCCACTCCACCACAGAAAAAGTCAACACAAAAAATAAAGACTAAATAAAAAACAAGAATCCAAGATTCTCCCCACCCCCCATGCCAATTTGAAGATCGACCAAGTGTCAACGGAATATTAAATAACTAGGCTCTGTTTGGTTCGTGGATTTCGAAATGACGAAAAATAAAAATGCAAAAAGCAAATAACAATAAAGAATTTAAAAATCTATATCAGTGTTTGGTTCCTGAGGAAAATGGTGACGGAATTAATTTTGTGAAAAAATCACAAAATATTTTAAGCTTTTTTCCCCCAAATCACTATACCTCCTATCCAAACAAGAAATCAATTTGACCTAGTTCCTTAATCTTTCTACTTAGCATTTTCCTTCATCCAAACAGAGCCCTAATTTACAAAACACACTGAAGCTGAGATAAATTCTTCAGAAATTCACATTAAGCACTATAAAATGCAAATGAAATTACAGCAGAAGGTCAACAAACAATCTAAATTCAATAAGAAAATAAAGCAGAATAATAAATAACCCACGCAATACAAATGGAGAAATTCCGACAGAACTACTGAAGAAGAGGGGTTTAATTTTGTCTGATTAATCTGAGTGGCGTACCTTAAAATCTCCGAGTTGGAGGGAAGACACAAATCGCAAATATGTAGGGAGTGAAAGATTCTTGACTCAGTTGTAATCTGGATTTGTTGATTAAATGATTTGGGTCTACCATCACTGTGTGCATATATATATATATAGAGAGAGAGAGAGAGAAAAAAAACGTATCTTTCATACTCTTTTGGAATAATTAGAGATACGTCCTTCACGATTAACATTATTATGAAAAGTCTTTCTCTAGTTTTTATTATTACACTAAATTCTAAACACCCCCAAAGGGTCTCTAGTTTTAATTATTACTAAATTGATTACTTTTTCTTTTACTCTAAAGAAAAATAAAATTGATTACTTGCTTGTCTCATTTTTATTTAACTAGAAAATTTGTTTCAAAATGTAAGGGTTATTGTGGTATTGTATAAAAATTGAAGGACGAACATGTAAATTATCTCTTTGCTTTTTGTCCAAGGTGAAGATGAAGCTTCGTGAAGCATAGTGGAGGGAGCAAAGTCAACGTGAAAATGATTAAAACGGTCAAAGCTTATATACAAATATATTTATCCAACCCCTCCTTTTAAATATCTTTACTTCGTGTCGTCAGTTTCTCTTGCGAAAATTCATAACATTATGACCGTAAGACTACAATGAATTTGAATATAAAGTTGTTGATGTCCGAAAATGCTTGTAGGAACACATTTCCAAAAAACGTGTTTTGGTGAAATAAACAATATTAGAAAACATTTGAGAGAAATAAATAAATAAATACTAACGAAAATGTGTTCGGTCATATCACATCTTTACAAGCACATATTTATAAGCAGCAACGTTGTTTTAGGTAGAAAATAAGTGTAGTTGTAATGATAATATAAAGTGAAGGGCATTCCAGACATTTTGCGCGGATTCGAAACGGAGAAAAAGCAAAATGCATAGTATTGTTTCCCAATAAATAAATAAAAAACTGAAACAACATTAACAAAAACGCCCAGCAAAAAGCTCTCTTATTCTGTCACACAATTAATTACACAAAAAAATCTACACACAATATAACAAACATAGACACCTATAAAAATATTACATAAACATAATTTACTCTTTTCTTCACACACCCTTTTTTTTTTACACATACTATAGTATTAATCACATTTAAAAAATATATGTATATATAATAACTAAAAGAAAGACGGTATCGTATCGTATCGTTGAAGTGAAAAGATATTCAGAGAAGAAGGCAAGTGTCGGGATGGGACTTGAGCTGTTGTTTGGCTTGCTGTTGAGACCAATACGCGTGAGCTGTCAGAACTCGATCGAGTAGTTCTTGCGGCACTGGCTCACCGCGTCTTTGCTGAGGTGATATTCTTGCTGTGTGAACCAATGTTTTCCACTTGTCCTGTAAATAAATATAACCGCAAATTTGTATCGGAGAAAAAAAAATATTTTTAAAAAATAATAATGCGAAAGAGTGGCTGGCTGTAAGAGATTCCTTCGAAACATGTTGTATGTAATGCTATGTAATGGATATAAGATATTAAGATGTCTGGTTAGGTAGCAAGTAGCAACTATATTTGCCTTAGAGCCAAGTGATCAAATGTTTAAATTGTAGGGGTGGAAATCGGACACATCAGATCGGACTTAGCACTTTTCGGAAAAATTGTAATTTTCTCGGAAAGTGAAGAATAACTAATTCCAATTTTTTCGGAAAGTGAAGAAAAACTAGTTCTGATTCGGTTACAAAACGACATAAATTAGAAATCAAAATTTCGGAAATTGGGATGAAAAGACTTGTTCCATCGGAAAATTTTGGATTGGAACAGACGGAATTCGGAATTTCAATTTTCGTAGTCACGTATAATTAGGGGTGGAAATCGGATGGATCGAATCGGAATTAGTACTTTCGGAATAATTCATTTTTTTTCGGAAGTGAAAAACTAATTCCAATTCCATCTGAAAAAAAAGTCGGAAAAATCGGAAATTGGAATGAAAAAACTTGTTCCAAAAGTCGGAAATTTTCGGATCGAATCAGCGGAATTCGGAAATTCCAATTTTTCCAATTTTTGATAACGTTGAACACAACATAAATAATAATATTGATATTATTTAGTGTAATTTCTGTAAAAAAAAAATATCGGAGTTTTTGAAAATATTTTCGGAAATTAAAATCGGATAGGTAATCGGAATCTAATATGTACTCCACTTCCTTTCCAAAAAAGCAAAAAAGTAAAAATTGGAAATTAGAACTTTAAGATTCGGAACGAAAAATATTGTTCCAAAATCAGAAATTTTCGGATCGAAATCAGCAGAATTATTCGGAATTTTCTTCCAATTTTAGACTTCAAACATAGGTAACAAATATCTAATCAACGGATAAAAGACATAGCAAATATAATTTCGTCACCTTCAAATCCACATAAGTTCTATGCTTTGCACTATCAAAGGCTCTGAGCTTCACATCCCGCCACCTGCAGCCGTCGTGACCAACACAATCAAATCAACAAAATTTCAAGAAAAAGTTATTTACGCGTCATTTATCAATAAATAAACAAATAAAAATAAATAAATAAATAATACCTTCCGGTTCCGAGCTTCTCAACGGCCTGAACAAGAGCTTCAACTTCAGCAACAGTGAAAGGCCTACGAATCCTACGCTGCACAGATTCGGAGCGCTTCGATTTTCGAAAAGGTACAACAGCTAATGCATCCTGTTTCGTCGAACAAAGCGGGACCAGCGCTTTCGATTCCGACAGCGACATACGAGAATGCGAAGGCGCCGAATCGTAATCACTCTCCATAAAATTGCTAAAACTACTTCCAGGCACATCTGCCGCAGGACTAGGCGTAGATACAGTATCTGTATCTAATGCTACATTATTATTATTATTATTCCCCTGTTGATTATTCACAGCAGCAAGGTACCTGATAGTAACACACTCGTTTTTATATTCAAACATTTTTTTCACTAATTATTTACAAGAAATATTTAAGAAAAAAAAATAGAGACTGCATACGTACGTACGTACCTTGGCAGCGGTTTACTTTCGGGATACGATGATTGAAGTAAAGGTGGTGGAGCAGGGCTGGGCTCGAGAGTGAAGCCGAGGGTATTATCGGAATTGTTACTGTCGTGAGAGATTCCGGTTTGTAATAATGTTTTGTTATCGTCTCTGATTTTCTTGCCCTGGACAACTACTCCGACTCGTAATCCGCCACCGAGTACTGCGTTTACTGCTTCCATTACAGTTCTCTGCACGAACATTATTTTGATGACATTATCGTCCCATGCTACAGCAAAATTAAGCTTCCTTAAGAAAAGCTAGAAAAAACGGAGCCGGTGTTCAAATACCTTGAGAGAACCAACGGTAGCAGTTTCCGGAATCTCGATAAATAACTCCGGAACCCTAAAAGACTTGATCTTTAGTTTCACTGAGTCAACCAAAAGACCGTCGAATATCAGCCAATTAATCGATAAATAATAAGCCAAAAACAAGAACGACGAAAAAAAAAAACTGTACCTTGAGAATTCCTCGAGCGGAACGAGACATATCCACCTGCAACAGAAGTCGGAGTTGGTGGGGCGGCCACTGCATTTTGTTTTTTTTGTGCCAAATTAATTAAAATCCGATAAAAAAAAAATCGAGAGTGTGTGTACGAGGATAAAAAGTCACACCTTCTGGCAGTGTTGGACCAGAACCGATTCCATCGGGATTTGTGCCGTTTTCGTTTTGCCGATGTATTCCTCCACTGCTATTTCCTTCATCGGAATTAGAAACCGAGCCACTACATTCGTAAAGCTTCCTCTTTTTGAATGGATAATCCCTCAAAGACCGTTGCCTCTTCGAATTGTTTTTCCTGTTGACGTAATTTGATCTTTCTGTATCCCGGAAAAACCAACGACAACACAAAACCCTTAATAAAAATATTCGAAAATATCATCAAAAAAAATGTCGAAAAATAATAGAAACTCGGCGACTCACCTGCACAGTGCTGCAACTTCCTAAATCTACGATCTCCAACACGTGGTGGTGACTTTAAGGCGGCGGCTTTATTTCTAGCCCGTTCGGAAAAGTTGTCGTCATCATCTCTATTAACTAAATTTACACTCTCCCCATTATTATTAATATTATTAACGGGGTTCTTGCAAAACGGGAACTTTACACTATTATCTACCGAACAAACCAATCCGGAAGGTTTTCTATCAAAACCCTCCGATGCATTCCTTATTGACATAGTCTTGGTATTATTATTATTATTACTATTATTATTATTATTACTATTATTATTATTATTATTATTATTATTATTATTATTATTATTATTTGCAATATCGATTTTCTTGGTTTCTTTCCTACTCTCATTCTCCGACCCGTAAAAATCCACCGAGGGGGTGAAAATCCCGAGGCGGAGCTTGCAGTCGTCGTTGACCAACTGCTCCGCGGAGTTGACTTTCTCGGAGCAATCGGAGGTTGTTATTCCAGATGCAGGCCTTGAGATGGCATCGTTTTGTTCCGAGACGAGTTCCGTGAACAGAAAATTCCTCTCGTAATAATTGTGGGCCCCACTGCTGGATTTTTCGTCCAGAGGAGGCTTGATATCTTCTTCGACCTTGCAAACGGGATCCTCCACGCGTGCAGGAATATCCTTTCTCGAAGACGTGTTATTATTCTCCCCATCGGACAGTAGCTTACCAGCTACGGTTGCTAATAGGTCGAACGCGCACATTTGTTGGTTGTCATCGGCTTTTTTCTTGAACATGCACCTTCTCTAAAAACAAGTGGATTTTAAATAAATGGTTAGTGTAAGTTTTTTTTTTTTTTTAATTAGAAACGAAACCGCGGTAATTACAGAATTACCCTGGCTGATCTGGCGGCTCGGGGTATGGGAGGCACTTGATAGCCATTAAACCCATAATCTAGTCTCTTCTGCAACACCATATCTGAGAATCATATCGTAAAACGGAGAATTAGCAGCTTTCTTGATCCTGTTTATCATATAAATCCCATGTAGCCAATATAATCATTAAAAAAAAAAAAAAAAAAAAAGCCCGTTTCGACTTTTCCACACAAAACCTAATAAAATTAACTAAAACAAAAAATAGAAACAATACAGATTGAGGAAAAACAAATTCTGTCGAAAACATATGATTACCACAAAATGGGGTATTTTTGCTGAAGGGATGCTTCTACAATTTGAATGCTACATCAAATAACCAACTAACTTCTCCCCTAGTTAAATAAATAAACAATCAATTACTCAAAAAAAAAATAAAAAAAAAATAAACAATCAAGAAACGGAAAAATCGAAGTAAGAAACCTTTCGAGGGTACAACGAAGAGTAGAAAAGGCAACCCTCACAAAAGCCCACATATAGAAATGGAATTTATAACACACACACCATAATTTCTTGCATCACTCAAATTTTCGCAAGGATTATACGAAATAAATAATTAATTAATTAATTAATATCGAAAGTTGCATGTAAGTGATCTAAATAAAAAAGGAAGGCAGATCAAAGGATTACATGAATAAATTCTTAACCAATGGATTATCAAAACCATCTAAAGAATTCAAAACCAAATGCATGTCAAAATCCCAGATCAACCTTCAAATCAAAAGAAAATTCAAACCCTTCATTTTTTTTATAATAAAAAAAATAATTAAAACAAAATTGAAGCAAAGATTGAAACTTTACCAAACTGCAAACAGAGGGGCACAGAATTTGATCATCCTCACCTTCAAGAGACAAAATTCTCTTCCTCCCCACCGTGAATTTCGGTCAATTTCCACGTCATTTTCCAGAATTTAATTATGAACTACACTAATAAAAAAAAATGCAAGAACAGTTTTTTTTATTTTCATCTGGGAAGAACAAATCTTGTTTCTTCCACACCCAAAATCCTCTAATCCATTTTCAAAACTCTCAAAATAAATAATAAAATAAAGATCCAAAAAAGAAAAAGAAAAATCCTTAATATTAATTTTCTTGTGTTGGATGAAAAAAAAAAAAAAAGGATAGAGAAAAACCCTATTGAAAACCACCCCTTCCACACCATACCTTAAACCCCAACTCTTATACATTGACGCCAGCCACCGGAGCAATCGGTAGACCCAGAATAGACAACCGGCTACAGAAGGTTGAGGCAAAGAACTGCCTGAAGACTTGTTCTTCACACAGTGCTGGATGCTGCCACGTGGAGGTGAGATGGGAATCCATCGGTGTTTCCTCGTTTACACCTTCGAGAAAAACGTTGCGTCACCAGGGCGGAGGGAATTTTTTTTTTTTTTTTTAATTTTCTTGAAAATAATAAAATATATTTTTATTTAATTAATTAATTAATTAGTGTTAATTTCCCTTGTCCCTCAATTTTTAACTAATTATTGTTAATATTATTTGCCTTAAAACTCAACAAACTCATGCCTAACCAAGAAACATCTGTGGTTTAACTAAAACTTAGCATAAAGGTCACTTCTTTTTCCACCGAGGGTAGAGATAAATTACACACACATTTTTTATAGTGAAGTGGGATAGGTAATAAGTATAAAGATTGCATTTTTATTGCAATCAATTTAGAAATTTAATTGCGGGAATTGATTTATGACGTCACCCATTGTAATTTGTAACTATGGTTAAGCCGATGGTGGTACTACATATTTTGGGAGAGAGAAATATTTTAAATTTATCAAGAATTTAATTGGTTATTTTAATATTTTTTATCCAAAACAAGAAAAGAAAATTGGTACCGGATGAAAATCATGTTGTAGTTTTATTACATTATTTAATCTTGTTGACGTGATGTCATTTCTTTTATTAAAAAAAATGTCAACAATATAAGTTTTAATACGGAATTATATATTAAAGAATAAATTTCAAGAAAGAAAATTTATTCATGAGACAAATATTAATGAATGACTACTAAAAAAATATCTTAGTTATTTGTACCAAAAAGCGAAAGTTCTCGTCCGCATGACTCCGATTTTATGGTCCGATAGGTTTTTGACGAAAAAATGTAAATTAAGATGATTCGACGGCTCGTTGGAGAGTTGAAATTTCCGTGCTGTGACTGACAATACTCAATCAACTTTGCACCAACTTATTATCCTCGGAATCAGTTGAGTTTAAATCACGTCCATGTGGATCTAATTTCACTAACCTTTTTTTTTCTATTATTACTAAATTCGCTAATTTTAGTTGGCAATTGATGCAAGATTCCTTTGCCACTATATAGATCTAAAAAGTTCAAATATTTAAACATATTCTAGATCTATATTTAAAATTAAATTACTTAAACTTAATTGTTTATAGAAGACGTGGAAAATACATATTTTAATAATTGGTTCCTGTGAAGAGAATGACTAATACTGAAAATATACTTTATTTATTTTCTCATTTAAGGAAATGGATATCAAAAGCCAAATCAGATAAAATAATCCTACGTGGCACCATGACTGCCCGAGATTGGTGGCTTTTTCACTGGGTATTATCTGAATACAATTACAAACTTCAAATTTGAAGGGGGAACTGAGAGAGAAAAAGTAGGGTGCAAACGGAAAGTATCGACGATAAGGTGAGGTGAGAGGCAAGTGTGTTACGGCCAATCAGTTTTGGTTCAACCCTTTGATAGTTTTTTTTGCGATGGGAGGTTAAGGAGTACAAAACTTAATCCAAATAGATGGTCCAAATAAAAATAGAGTTGGTAGAGATTTCTTTCTAGAACCATATTTTATATGAATTTTTTAGACTGTTCTAGTGAAGAACAACTCTTAACCCTTAGATTATGTAGATCTCCATCGTCCATTGATGAGGTGGCCTAGTATAAATAGGAGTAGGCACTTCATTTGTAAGCATCCAACAAATCCAAGATATTCAAGCAATACAAGTACCTTTCTACAAATCTCTTTTATCTTCTTAACAAAATCTTTTATTTTCTTAACGAAAAGGAGTTAAGGTCGCACGGTGTTTAAAGGAACAAGTTCGGGACAAGGGTATGAGATAGGATAACGCCGTTAGAGACGAAGAGATACGAAGTCGCACGGTTTGTTGCTTAAAGGAACAAGTCGTGACGAGGGGATGAGATATGATAACGCCGGTACATAGAGAGAGATAAGGGGTGGGGCCCATTTAACTTACTTTCTCTTTCATTCATTGAAGATGTCAATAAAGTTGATCAACATATTTTTCATAGTGACGATTACAAGCTTATATTTTTTATAGTGACGATTACAAGGTCAAAGGACAAGTTGTTGTATCGGGACGACATCGAAAGAATTAGAATTTTCTTATTCACGTAAATAATACAAAATACAAGAGATAATATTGATATTATAAGTATAATTTTTTGAAGTAAAGACAATTGATATTCGGGGTCAAAAATCTAAATCGCTTCGAAAATCACTAGTGTTTTTAGTAATTTGGAACTATAACAATTGTTCTAAAATCGGAATTTTTTCAGAAAATTAATTAGTGCTCTGTTTTATTTAATATTTGGTTGTGTTTTTATTTTGTTTTCGTTGATTTCCACTACAGTAAAATGATTTAACTGCTACGGTACAAAATGTCTTCACTACAAAATAAATAAATACCACTTCATCTTTCAATTTTTTCTTCTAAAATACTTTTTTCTAACACTTTTAAACATGATGTGACTACTACAATGTATTTTGTCTCCTTCCAAAATATAAACGAACATTACTTTCATTCTCAAATTCTTCCCCCAAAACATATTTCCACAAAAATGAAATCAAAATAAGTTCCAAAACGCTTCCAAACATTACAAATTTCCAACCCATTATTAGCTCTCACAATACATATTTCCTTTAAACAAAATAAAGAGTTCGAAATGAAAAATATATAAGTCTCAAATCTTTGTAGAAACAGTCGAAAGAATATGCATCATTAAGAAAAAACGAACAACAGATCAATATTTCGCATCTCAATTCACAATATTAAGTTCCAGCGCAATGTTTCAGTACACAGTTGCAAAAGTGCAAGAACGAAACAAACCCGATAACGGATCTTGTTTTGACTTGGATTTATATACTTCCACGGTTCAAATAAAATATAAACAATTAATAACAATCGAATAACCTTCACACTTGTTATAAAAAAATGGTTGCCAGGCTAAAACTACCCGCCACTCCAAAAACTATTCATGTTTTCGATTCTACAACAATTATAGATATTATAGATAGATAATATTGTGAAATAAAAAAAAATAAAAAAATTACAGAGTACACAATGCCAACAACGACAGCTAATTCTACACCACAACAAGAAAAAGTTGTCCATCAACAATAGAAACGAAATGCAATTGATAATCTCATTCGGACAAATCAGCATACTGCCATGGATTAAATTCTGTTGATTGTACATCACCTGTTTCAATGGCATCTGAAGAGTCAATGGCATTTCGGTGCTCTGTGTATTTCCCGTTGAAACGGTATACTTCCAAGTCACCCCATGGTGTAGGTGTGATGTCATCAGTTTGATCGAACCATTTTGGGGTGAACTGGTCACCTTTTGCTTCTCGGTTTCTCTTTTCAGCTCTTTGTCTCTCCTCCAAACTGAAAACACGTACCGCACAGGCAAGTTAAGGCACACGTTATGGTATGTGTATTGCCAAGAAATCAAAATGCAAAACTAAGTTTGTAAACACACACACACACAGATATATATATATATATATATATATATATATATATATATATATATATATATATATATATATATATATATATATATATATATATATATATATATATATATATATATATATATATATATATAATATTGAGAGAGAAATACCTGCTCTTAGCAGCACCAGCCTTGGAGAGATCGCCTTTCTCAAGTGCCCATCTATCAGGACGCAATCTTGAATCTGATGCCAACAACTTCTTGGGTGCAGTTTCAAAGCTGTTCAATTTATGCGCAAAGTATGTGAACTGATATTTGTCACCAGGTGGAGTTGCCGCACGACTCCAAACCTGCATAAACATTTCTCATGAGTTATCTATCTAAGTGTCTGTATATTTTTAACAACTATGGCTCAGTGATATTACATCTCAGCCACCAAGGCTCACTTTATTACTGACCTCGAAGATATACAGTACGTAAAATGAAGGAAATCCCAAGGATAACATCACATTACATAATTTCATACCTTAACATCTCATAATCGGGACATGATTTTATATTGCAAAGAAGATAACACAAACATCCCAATTTCAAATTGCATATCATTAATAGATAAAGGAATATAAGAGAACTCACCTCTTTCAGTTCTGTACCAGGAAGAGGTTCCCCTTCCAAATCACATGGCTGATAACTCATTGACTCGCTCCATTTTCCAGTCATCAATATTTTCGGTTCCTCATTAGCATTATACACATATCCATCTACCTCATATCTATTAGCTCTGCACATACAATATTTTTATAGATATCAGAAACAGTTGCAAATTGTTTTTCTCGGGTAAAATTGACCATTAAACAGACATGGATACAGAGAAGATAAAAAGGTCTTATTCTAATCATGAAAAGGTACTATTTGATCCAGCTGAAGTTGTTTTGGTTGTGATTATTGAAATTTATCATTGATCAGCATGAACAAGTTTCTGGACTAAGAACGGGAAATCATTTGGTGGAGTTATGATAACACTTAATTATGATAGATGTTACATCTTTTCACTGAACCTCTACAATTTCATCATCTAAAAGAAGTACGTCTATACTTGACTATTTAAAAAAATTACTACAGAACTCACAACAGTTTGCACCTCATGCCTAACGACTATTCTTTGCCACTGTTTTAAGAATCTAAAGTACATGCTAAATTTGTTCTTTCACGTGATATCATACATGGAAAGCAATTGATCTATAAAAGAATGAAGGTTACGATACATGGAAGAACAGAAAGGAACACATAAAAGAGAAACTATGAAAGCAAATAAGATATAACATACCCAAACCAACCGCAAGGTTGAAAATAGAGAACAACTTTGTCGCCTGTAGTCAAATTTGTCATAACCATTTCTCCTGGTGAATCCACCCAGGTTCGTCCAAAAATCAAATTGTTGACTTTGGTAGGAGGAGGAACCAGCTCGAGGGAAACTCCATCTCTTTTAAGAGTCACCCGGGTTCTGCAGTGAAGATACCATAAATTTTCGTCACAAGATAAATCAATTACTTGAATTGCAGCATCAAGAAATGATGGAGGTGCCGTGCATGCATTTACATTCTACAGGCAATACATTAGATAAATATCATGAATTAAAAAACACACAAACCTTACCTTCCAACAGGATAGACATCAAGGGAGTTGCCTAAAAATTTAGTTCGCAACTTAGATGTCACGTCATATGTGAAATGCTCATTTTCAGCATGACCAGCACTCATTGGGGGATGATGACTTACCTACAAGTATAAAAACTTCAAATTAACAAATAGAAGCGATCTAGAAACAACTAGCAAGACTTCATAGATTTAATCATGGTGACTCCCATTAGATAAAAATTTAGTGAACAGTCTAGCCCCAACAAATTGTATTTCTTCAATAAGTTCCAGTTAAATAATTCAAGCACCGATCACTGATCAGTATTCAGAATGAAAGAAAAATCAAATGAAGGTGGACAGGATCATAAACCATAAGGCTAATACATGACTAACTCACCTGCTCTGAGATGAAAGTAACTCCACCGTGGTTAACCATTTCATAAGTCTCGCCAAGAATCGGATTAAAAGGCTTCCAAGTACGTTGGAAGGCAAAATAGACAGACACTGCCCATGATGCTGCGTCAAATAAAAGAAAGTAATACATCAATGCATCATATATTAACCTACATATTAATTAGTTGACAAAAGTGGACCCCATCATTGAAGCATTGAGTGTCTCTAATATGTAAAGGAGGAAATACTTACATGCATACACCATCCGCATATAGGGATCGTCACATTTATCGGCTTGATCTAAAAGGTGTGAGTACTCCACTATCTGCCAAAACAATTGCATAACAAGCATCAGCTGAGGTGAAAAGAGCATTTTGTAAATATGGCAGCAAGAGCATGATAGGAAAATGCACAAACCTCTGCCATTTTCTGAAGCATGGTCATTGGCTCGAATATAAGGACAGGGAGAGTCACCATTGACGTGACATCGGCGCCAATATATTTTTGCATCATTTTCCAGTAACCATCTCGTTCCTTTGAGGAAGCGAAAGATCAATCAGGACACAATTACACATATCACATGCATGCACACAAAAATGACGGACAGAGCCACATATTGATACGGTTTAAAGGGTCATCAATCATGCATAAATAAGAGAACATTAACAAATATCAACGTAATAAAACACTAACATGACATGACTTGAGCCCAGCAGGTTGTAAGGGCCTTGTGGGTTCAATATTATCTGTTCTTTTTTTTTTTTTTGCAAAATCTCCCACATATTATTTTGTGGATACATTAAATTTTCCATCAGTAAATATGTAGCTACAGTAGAAATGTTTAAACTTGCTAAAATGATCAATGATATAAAAATTAAAAAGAACTTCAATAACACGAACTATGGTTGATAGTTTTCAAACATTAGACTGATCTACACAGATCTAGGCTTTAATCAGCACTCATGGTAAACATAATCATCACAAAAGTCAATCCCGTCAAAAAAGAGTATTAATTTTTTTTCAGCTGCATAATGAATATTCTTTAGCTTAATTTTTTTGTGTAATTAGATAAAGTACGAATTCCACTTCGAAAAGTGGCACCAAATCCTTGTTAATAGAATGCATATTATTAAAAAAAAAAAAAAAAAAAAACTCACCTCCTCCCTCCATCTCCCCCTGTGAGCTTCCTCTTCAGCATCTTCTTTTCCTCCTTCGGGATTTATAACTTCCATCCCTTCATGGCCAAGCATTCTAAGACAAGGGTAAACAGTAAACATTTTCAAATTCACATCTTAACTTGTGACCCTAATTCACGTATACGGCGACATCACTCCTCAATCTATCAATCAATCAATCAACTAAACCATCAACTTCAACAATCAATATATCACAGCAGCAAATTCCAAATTCAAGCTCACATCATCGAAATCACAAGTAAATAAAACCAAAAAATCTAAAAATGCAATCCCACTCAGATATTTCTCACCAAATCAAATCTCAATAAAATCCAACAATCGAACTTAAGAACGGCAGTTATATCTAATATCATATATATGTATATATATATATATATATACCCGTTAACGGATCTATGCATGGCATTGCTGAACATCGACAATCCCGATGTCATGGCGGCGAAGAACCCCCCTTTGCTTTGATTCTTCTCTGGACTTCCCATATTTCCCCCCACGAAACTAGAATTCAATTCAACCCTTTTTCAGATCGGATTAAAAAAAATGTATCGATCCAATTACAGAAATCCAATTCGCTGAGCTCTCAAAAATCGAGTTCAGAAGAGCTTCAATAGAATCAAATTCGGAACCCTAATCTGATCAATCAGGCGACCTGACCGATGGGCATGAAAAATGATTGCGATTGGTGGAAAAGCTGATTTATAAATCAGAGAAGATTGTTTAAACAGTATCGGGATTATGACACATGGTGAGGGGTAAATGTGGAAGAGTGAAATATACAGCGTGGAATTGCAATGGAACTAGTTGGCGAATCCTTTGCTTTTTTATTCACGTTCGGATTAAGCCACGTGTTAATTATAGAGCGTGAGTACACGCTTCAGATCGCATCGTTGGTAAGAGCGATGCTGCGTTGTCTAGGGTGTTGCGGTGCGTCGTTTTGTTAGAAACTAGGAAGGCGCGTGAGATTCCGTGGGGAGGAATAAAGTGTAATGTATGGGCTTTAATGGGCTCAAATGCCCACAAATTTTTGGTTTGGCCCCATTATATGGTTTGTTTTACTTTAGATTGGCCTTAAAATTGGACCGGTCGGATCAGAATTGACACCTTAGAAAAATACCGATTTTTTTTAAAAGTGAAAAACTAATTCTAGAATCGGAATTTAAGAAACTTTAATGAACAAAACATGTGACAAAATCGTAATGTTCTGGATTGGAATCGAAGAAATTCGGAAATTTTCAATTTTTAGTACCATAAAATGTAAAATATTTAATAATTTTGATATAATGTGTAACCCACTCCAAAACAAAGTATCGACATCACTCTTTCCCTTAACCAAGCCATTATCTATGAGTCGCCGGCTGATTCTTCAACAGGCACGCGACCAAGAGTGTTGGATCCCACTGCTTGGAGGAGATTACGGTTTCATGTTCTATTTCATTTTCACTCGCCGATGGAGGTTCTTTTCACCCTTACTTCGCTATCGATCACCTAATTGGTCCTTGTTGATTCACATGGCATTCCACATGTCTCATTCTACTCGGGTCATAGACTCATAGTGTAAGCCAATGATGCTTTTGGTTACTAGACGTTCGGAAATTAAAATCGGATTGAGCGGAACTTCGTGACAATTAGACCGAAAATATACATTTAGGAGTTAGGACAAAGTGCACCGAATTGTATGTTTCTAAAGGAGACAGTCTCATTTTTGTATTTTAATGGGGGAAGTGCAAAACAGGCATTTTTTAAGGGGGTGAACTGCAATTTGCCCTGCATTTTAAATAAGTTTAGTTTTAGCACATTAAATTTTCAAAAAAATAACAAATAATAATAAATTCGAGTCCCGGTTAGCGCATTGGTTTGGGTGTCGTTATAAACCCTAAATTAGATTCCCAGAGTGGTACTGATAATTGCTCTCTTCCTGCAGCAAAGAAGAACTGTGTAGCAACTTCAAAAGGTAAATATACTTTCTCAATCACACCCACAAACTTTAATCATCTCACTATTCGAATTAACACTCACATTTATCATATGATTTACTTTTTTCAATTATCAATTTTTTTTTTTTGGGTTTATCGTTGATGTTTTTTTCGCCCAATTTTTCTGTTCTTCTGGGCTTCATTTTTTTTTAAAATATTTGTGTGTCACCCTGTGGGTTTAGATATTTTCTCTGATTGCATGTGAGAATTGTTTATGATCTTTGCATTTTTGGAGCTCTATGAAGAAAAAAATATAAAAAAATGGGAAATTTCTCGAAAACGTTTTCTGATTATATAGTAGATTGCACAATAATCGATACATCCGACGTCGAATATAATGAATTTCTAGTATCTGATGATGATTTAAAAAGTACCTGTTCTTAGATTCCATTTTTTTCTGTGAAGGATGTCTTACTCGTCCGAGGATGAAACCGACATAAGCGATTCCGAGATGGAAGAGTATGTCGATCGGTGCTACGAACAATTGAAGGTCGAGACTCAGAAGCTGAAGTTTTCAGACACATTGTACAGGTGTCCGTACTGCCCCGGAAAGAAGAAGATCGTCTATCCATTTAAAGACATTCTCCAGCACGCCTCCGATGTTGCCAAGGGCTCGCAAAACAAGGACATCAAGCACAAGGGAAAGCACTTGGGCCTCGTCAAGTACCTGAAAAGTGAAGTTGACCACGAAGACTTGTCTTCGGAGTTGACCGCGTTGACTCTCGTTGACCAGCAGGAGGGCAATGGTGTGAAAGACTTGTTTGTGTGGCCATGGATGGGAATTGTAGCTAATTTTGAGAGTGTTTCGAAGTTGAAAGATGTTCTTGCGAAGAGGGGAGTTGACGCAGTTAGGGTTCGCCAGCTGTCGAGTGGTAGTAAATACGCGGTTGTGGAGTTTAAGAAAGATTGGTCTGGATTTTACGGTGCGATAATGTTTGAAAAGGGTTTTGAGGTTGTCAATCATGGGAGGAAGGATTATTATTCTCCTAACTTGAGCGATGAATTATTATATGGTTGGGTTGCGCGAGATGGTGACTACAATTCGGACGGTATTTTGGGTGATTTTTTACGGAAGAATGGAGATTTGAAGACGGTGGGCGATTTGGAAAACGAAGAGAAGAGGAAAAACGGGCTGCTCGTTGCTGATTTGAGCAACACTATTCAAGAATTGAGGATGCGTTTGGAGAAGAACAACAACTATCATGAACAGGACTGAATCACCACTCTTTCGAAAGACATCTTTTAGTATCGGTTTTAAGCTTATCTGTAATTTTCCTATTTTACCCTCTCTTCCAAATTTTTCGTGCTCGACCTTTGTGTGATGGAATTGGGGGTTGAAGCTATCGGATATTTAGTTTTAGTGTAACTATTTTAACATCGTTCGTGTTTCTAAATGCTGTCCGTGCAAGTGTTTTCTTTTCCTATGTAGTGCAGTTGTGCTTTTATGTGCAAAAATCTCTTACTTACTAATTAGCTTTTTGGAAGTTTTGTATGTTTCGATGTTAGTATCGATAAAACTAACTATGAGAAGTGATAATATTGCGTTGATGGAAGTTTTACAAGACGAAAACATACTCCTTAACACGACTAACAATTTAATTCATAAACAAAACACAGTCGCCCAAGAAAGCACAAATAAATGATACATTTTGTTCTAATAACGTGTAATCAATCACCTTGGCTTAACGGATTGTTCTATGGATGAAAAAACTAGAAGAAAAAAAAAAAAAAAAAACGCTCGTCAAATATTTCAATAATTACCATAACAAACTTTGCCAACAGAAATTAGAAAAATGAAGTTGAGGGCGTTTCTGTACACTAATAGTAGTATCCAGTCAATGTATGAAGCAAGCACAAGGCACAATTATTTTCATCTTACAACCATCTTTGGCGTCTACCTCTTGACCGAAGTAAATAGATCCGACCATATACCCATTGTTTACCTGGTATCGACCCAGATTCCTGCAATTTTATAACCAGACATATAATTAGTGTCTGAATTTTTTATTCCTCAAATGAAATTCAAATTCGTCGTCAAATGGAATCAATCCAAACACGTTCGATGAATTTGATTATATGGGGTTTGAAATCATTTCTTCAAATCCTGTCATCCAAATGCAATCTAAGAGATCCATTTTACGATCAAGAATCACGTTCCAATGTCTTGACCTTGTTTCACATTACTTTTGCATAGCCTTTGCAACCAACGAAAGTAACTATAAACATCTCTCAAACTTGAAAAACTCGATACAAGTAACAAGTACCTCAACCTTCGTTTGGAACTCCAAGGAACTTTCGCATACATGACAATTCACTCTATGAGAAGAGTTAGTTGACCGATCGGATCTAACAAATGCAAACACCTGCAAGAAAAATAAAAAACTTCAAGCTATTAAAGATCTAAATAAGATATCAGTTACTCAATTTACACAAAGAAGTAATTTAATCCCGATAACTAAGTGTACTTTTCACACTAACCTCTTCGCCACAATTTGGGCAAACCCCTTTGAGTGCCACCAAGTCATTCTTCCAGAGTCCTTGAAGCGCTCCAACTACAAACAATTCCCAAATTACGGTATTTTAATTTTGTAATGTTATAGGTAACCTCCCATGCTGGACAATAATACATGAGGAGCAACATCGATTAAAATACGGTGCTCAATAAATTACAGTTATCCTAATTGAAACTCCAATGTTGCCCAGAAAATATGACAAAAAAAATCCAATTCTCGTGTATCCTTACCCAGAAATTCTAATTCTTAAGTATATTTCCTAGAAATTGGGAAAAAAAAAAATCACGTTTTAAAGTATTTTGCCAGTCTCATGTTGCCTTTTCATGAAACAGTTATGCTAAAACTTACATCAATAATTAAAATAAGCAAAGTACCTGTAGTCGAAGTATTACTAAATCATAATGAAAAAGTTAATAGCCGGAGAGTTGTTGATAGAAACTTAACGGGACGGAACTATTGGGTACAAAACTTAATTGTAGGGTAATTTTACTTTCCATCAAGGCCTGTAAACATATTCACATAAAATTTCAGCAATCAATTCACGTAAAACCACTTACGGGATGATGCAGTTTATTTTTACACGGTCAATTATATGGGCTGATATTTATTCATTAAAGGACAAAAGATGCGAATAAAACTCGGAACATATCACAATCGAGTATCATATGTAAGAAGTGAAGATGTGATATTTTTCATTACCAGAAGCGGATGCGATTGGGTAGCCGATCAACGAGCCCAACAACATGAATAGCATGCCGTTGAGTGTGGCAAGAAACTCCAGTGCGGAAGCATCTTGATAAGCTTGAGCGACGGTATATGCTATAGGGACAAGACACGCCGACGATCCAAAACCGAGTATCAGGAGCCATACACTGGCCAACGCGAAAACCTGTGAAGGGTCTGCCTGCCCTACATACAAGTTTATTCGATGTTCAAGTGCAGAGAAGAAACAACCGAACCACTGCGTATTAGATTCAGTAACAAAAACCGGAAGTCGATGACTATTCATAGCTAGTACTTTAGTGGATCCAACCACCCAATATTATCTGTTATGGGTGTTTTCAAGAATACATACGAAACAACAATCTATGATTGATCGAAAGGACTGGTCAACAATCGCAGTAATATACGCATAACCGTGACGAGTGGCGCCTCCAAATTCAATTTCATAATCACAACTGACATTTTTAATATTTTTATACTGGCTCGAAAGAAAATGTCAAATTGTAGGTACAGTTAAAGTTCTATAAATTAATAGAGTCGGGACTAGGGAAATTCTATTAATTTAGCGAATTATTAAATTATCGAGTTAATAATTTAACACATTTTCACCAAGTCGGGGCCGAGATAAATTATTATTTAATCGAGGTTATTAATTTATCGAGTATTAATTTATTGAGGTTCTACTGTAGTTAGCATCGAATCGAAGGAAGCGCAAAATACCTCAGCATCCGCGTAGGTGGATTGTCGCCGGAGACTGCAACGCGGATACTTGACGACGTATTTTGACCCATACCGGCGCAGTTTTAACTGTCAGAAACTCAGAGTTAGTTTTCCTCAATGAACAAACACCAGAATAAACAAGAAACAATATCAACAGAAATTACAGATTAAGAAAATTGTATACCTCAACCCTATCAAACATGTCATCTACAATCAAAGGTTCCCCGCTGTAGTAAGCCTCCCGAGCCTTCAAGGGGGGAAAAAGCAAACAGTATGAGCAAAATTGATAAATAAGCAATTCGAAAAATTAGGCGATGAGCAGAGAATTGATTACTGACTTGACGGTAGAGAGCTTCTAGGGTTTCTTTACTGGCGGTTTCAACGGGTCCGACGAAGATGCACGAAGGTCCTTCCAATTGATGACGGCCGTCGGGAGCTGCGGCGGCGGCGGCAGCGTAGCTGCGGGAGGAAATACGGGCTCCAGTTCGGGAACCGGCTCTAGAGAGCTCGATTACTGTTGATCCGATCACCCGGGAGCACGTGGCGGCCATGAACGACCAAAACAGCTGAAGGAACTAATTCAATTGATTGGGAATATAAGAGATTTGTGGTGGTGGAGAGAGATGCTGTTTGTGGCCACACGATGGAGAGAGAGAGAGAGAGAGAGAGAGATGTTTAATTACGTAAGTGCCCTTGAATCTGAGGCTGGGGTTTCATTTCCCGCTCAAATATCTTCCGTCAACTACTGTTGATATTTTGGATGTACAGAAGAAACATTCAACATATTGAAGCACAGAGAATTTCGGTTCTTCCTTTAATTTAAAAAATAATGTTAATTAATTAATTACTCTACTGAAGCAAAACAAAAAAAAAATTAATTAATTTTTTTTTTTACTTTCTGCAAATTTAATGGCGTTCAGCTGCATCTGCATCTTCATCTTCTTCGTCCTATCTGTATCTTTTGAAGTAGTGGTCCCACTCGTGCTCCGCCGTCGTACCGAAGGTGTAATACTTCCAACTGCTCTCCGAATCAAACGCGCCGCTGTGATTCCTCCCCGATTTCATCTCCTTCCTCAGCGCCTCCACCCGCCGGACAACTCCCCTCACCGTCAGATCAAACGCGTCATCCAGCCTCTTCAATCTCGACCGTGGATCGGCGTACACCACGCTAGGTATCAGCTTAATCACTTTCTCTCTCATCGCCGAAACCCTAGATCTCGGAATCCGGGAGAGGACGCTGTCGATGCTCACCCCCTTCCGCTTCACATCTCCCTCCGGTATGAGCACGGAGTACGAGCCGTGGTCCTTCGGCAGATGCCATAGGTACTGCACGTAAGCCGACCCGGGGCTGAAGAAAACGGGTATGCAACCCGCCAGAATCGAGTCGAACGTTGATCTCCTCGTGAACGAATCCCCCGGCGGCTGCAGGCAGAAAACAGAGTTCTGGAACATCCGCATCACGTTCGCCGGTTTCAAGCAGTTGTGCTTGTCGTTTTTGCACTCGATCAGCCTGCACTTCTTCGGCGCCGCGGCGCACTGGGACATGATCTCGCTCCGGATCGAGTCCTCCATGTTCGGGCGGGGTGCTCCGGCGAAGCAGAACAACGACCGCCGCTTCTGCCGCCTCATCTTGTTCTGCCACTCCAACACCTGCTCGTCCGTCCGGGGATGGAAATACGTCGGGTATGGTATGGCAAAGTCATTCTTATCCCACGGGCTGGATTCGATTGTAAGCATAGTCATGTTCTGCGATTCCGGCAGCACCATTAGCTTGTTCCCCCACTCCGTGTAATTATCCACCGCCCGTCGAAAATCCCACGTAATCCGACCGGAAACTAAGAAATGGTCTCTCCCATTCATCAACTTCCACTCTGGCTTTTCTCTCAGCCATTTCAGAAGCTCGATCGAATCGGAATCTTTAACCGAAGCTTTGTCAGAATCCCACAAGTATCGGGAAACATCTAAGCCAGAATAGTACGGCACAAATATTGCTGCAGCCTTCGACGAGTCGTTCGTCAGGCACTCATATTGCTTCATTCGGTTGTGGAAAATGACCTCGAGCGAGAATTGGTGAGTTATATACCAACCGGAAGGCAAGAAAAGCCGTTGAGGATTCCCCAGGCTTTCACCGAGCCCACTGTTTACGAAGTACTGACACATGTCGTGCCATTTGTTCAATAATTTGCATTCTTTGATGTAATCATGGTTAAATCGACTCGGAAGTTCGTGAACGTACACATATCTACCGGTACAAGGTTTTTGTGTCGTTCTTTCCGTGACAGCTTTGTCTTCTTGTTCTTGTTCTTGTTCTTGTTTTTGTTCTTCTTTTGGTAACGAGGGTTCCATTTCCTTCTCCAGTCCCGGTAGATCCTCAACTATCGGATCGTTATTATTCGATTCATCGGAAACTACTGTGACATTATCATTATCGGATTTGGGAGTGGATGTATTTTCTAATTGGTTCTTGGCACTACCGGACTCGGGAACGGAATTCGAATCCGATGATTTAATAGGAATCTCTCGATTGTTTTCGACAACACGAGGTTCGGGAATGGGATTTGATCCCATGGATTGGAGGGAATCTTCTTGATTCTTGTCATCGTCGGATTGGTTATGGGTTACGGAAGACAGACCAGGTATAGAAGACCAATCGTAGCCGTAGAGCATCATGTACCAGAAGAAGAACAAGACGAAGAAGGCGAACCAGAACTTCTTCCGATGCCGTGTGGTGATGTGATTCTCCATGACTATTTGATGATGACTCTGGTGAGGAGGCCTCCTTCTTCTGTTATTGGACATCAATCCTCTTGCAGCATATTTTTGTATAATTTTATTTTTTAATTTAGCTAAATTGTAATATAGAGAAAAGTTCAGAAAGAAAGAAATATTCAATGTAAGAGTTGATGAAGAGAGAAAAGTCAGACTGTTAGGAGGAAATACGGCTAATGAATGGTTCTTATTCAATAGTCAAATGCTTAAATTAGTTAAGTATATCATATCTATGTATCCAATTTATTTGAAAGTATTAATTGGGGATGCCATATATATATTTAACATTAATAATTATACATAAATTAATTCTGGATTCTGTCATTAACTTCATGATTTATAAATACAATAAATACAAGAATACAGTATAACCTCAATAAATTAATGGTGTCGCTTAAATAATCGTTCAATTAATATAATTTTGTTAATGTCGACTGTATAGAGATTTAACTCTACATAACTTCTATTATTAGAATAGGATCTAGGGTTCGAATCTTGTAGCACAATTTGAATATTGCTAAAAAAAATCAAACTAGAAGACTATAATATTATTATTTCATATGAAACAAGCAACAAAATTCCAATACTATTTGTTGAAGTTTTTAATTATTTTATGTCTCGTTCCGTTACCTGTATTGAATTAGTGTGAATTAACTCTTTACTGACTAGTTAATAACTTAGTTAGTAAGATGTTCGATACATCAGATTGAATCTTATATTAAATATGTTAAATTATGATATTATATGTGATTCGTCTAAAAATAGCGGATTTTAGGTATTATATGTGATTCTTGTATTAATGAAACAGTAACATTATATAGCGGATTTTGATTTTAATAGTGAATTTAACTTGACTGAACATGTTACTAGTTCCGCTATTTAATCGGTAAAACCTTATTAAAACGAGAAACATATATAACAATTTAATTAACTCTCACGACTAATAATAGCACAAACAAATTTAACAATGAAATTCCATTTTTTTTTTCTTTGTTCTTTTTTATTTAGTTGAGAACCTACCAATTGGCTTTCATGCATGCAAAACAATCCATCGCACATACTATTTTTTTTTTTTTTATATTTAATTAAATAAATGGACACACTAAAAATAACGTGGATCAGACAATTCATCGAACACCTAATCTCCATCCCTAATTGCGCTTCCATCCATTCATTCTCTCTGAATCTCTGCTCGTTTCCCCCTTGCAATGGGAAGGACTCCGATCGCCTCCTCGCCGGAGTCCGAATTCGGGATCAAAGTCCAGCCCCACTCCGCCGCCCGCCCCCGCCTCTCTCCCGACAAGTACGGCGGCCGTTACCCCCAGCCGCCGCCCCCGCGCCCTTATCACCTCTCCAAGAAATGGTTTCCATGGCTGGTCCCCACCATTATCATTGTCAACATCGTCTTGTTCATCATCGCTATGTACATCAACAATTGCCCCGCCCACTCCGACAACTGCGTCGGCGTCGCCACCCTCGGCCGGTTCGCCTTCCAGAGCACCCACGAGAATCCACTGCTCGGCCCCTCCGCCGCCACGTCAGTACATTTATTTTAACATGTTTACTTTGTTGCCGATAAAATGTTTAATTTGTTCTTTAATTTCTGATTATGGGGCGTTTTAAAAATTGTTAAACATGTAAAAATATTGGAAATTTATAATTTTGGTCCTCCATTTTGTTCTATTTAGGGATTTAATCCTTTAAGTTGACCTATTTTAAATAACTTTGCGAATTTGACGGATTTTAGATTATATGGACTTTTAAAAAGAGAAAATTGTAATTTTGGTCCTCTATGTTGGCATATTTAGGAATTTAGTCCTCTAACTTGTCATGTTTCAGTTTTACATGCAATAACTTTACAAATATAGTATTTTTAGTCATATTTTGCATAATTTTTAATTTTATGACGTGACAAATAAACCTGACGCATTTTATTTGTATGGACGCTTGAAAATTTATGAATTCGACATCTATCTTACTATTGGTAGAACTTTAATTATGCGAGACAACACATTTATAAACCAAATTCAAGGAGCATTTATAATTTTTAAGTGTCCATATAAATAAATTTCTGCGAGTTTGTTATGTACATCATTAAACGACAACGACAGCTAAAATTCAAAGTTTGAGTGAAATAAGACTAAAAATACTAATTTTGCATAGTTATTGTATGTAAAATTGAAATATGACAACTTATAGGACCAAATCTCGAAAGAGACCAACATATATAGGACCAAAATTACAATTTTCCCTTTTAAAAATGCTAAATTTGTAAAGTTGTTGTGTGTAAAACTCAGATAGGAAAAACTTAGAGGACTAAATCCCTAAATTGTCCAACGTAACGGACCAAAATTACAATTTTCCTTAAAATTATATTAGTTATTATGAAGAATATATATCTTTGTATAATTGTAAAAAATTGCAGGCTTCTGAATATAGGCGCTTTGGAAGTGCACAAAGTGGTGGAAGAGCATCAAGTATGGCGGATCGTATCGTGTATGTGGTTACATGCCGGAATGTTTCATATTCTAGCTAACATGTTGAGTCTTCTTTTCGTCGGCATTCGCCTCGAGCAAGAGTTTGGATTTGGTATGTATATGTCTACTTACTTCTATATATACGCGCGAAATATCGGAAATTTAAAAAAAAAATCTTAATTAATATGCAGCGAGGATTGGTTTGTTGTATCTAATATCTGGAATTGGTGGAAGTTTGTCGTCTTCTTTGTTTGTACGCACAACTATTTCGGTCGGTGCATCTGGTGCATTGTTTGGTTTGCTCGGCGCTATGCTTTCTGAACTTCTTGTCAATTGGACAATTTACGAGAACAAGGTTATTAATCAACACCCTACGACCTGTATTGTTTTACTAATAACGTGAACTGATGAAATGTTAAATGTCGTTTCAATTTTACTAACATTGTTTTGATTTCGAACGTTATTTTTGACCATTTTCAAATCTGATTTTGGCAAAGTTCAAAACACGGTAATTGTAGTCCTTTAAGTTAACTTTCTAATCAGATTTGAGCTAGCTAGATTGGATATATGGTGAGAAAATTACGCATGAACGAGTTACATTTTGAATTTTAGACAACCGATCAAAACATAAAAATCGTGGGTGGTGTTCATTAATTCATGTATATCTTTTTCACCCGACATCCAATCTTGTCGATTCAAGTTTGATTCAAAAGCTAACTCGAAGAACTACGAACTCTGTGTTTTCAGTTTTGCCAAATTCAGCCTAAAAAAAGAGCACTATTAAAACTAAAACGACATTTATCACATCCCGAACGTTAATTATTACATGACGAATCTATTTTTTCTTGATCTTCGTATTCAACAGCTCGAATCATTACTCAGTCTTCTGCTGATAATTTTGATAAACATGGCGGTCGGAATACTCCCACACGTGGACAATTTCGCCCATCTCGGAGGATTTGCAACCGGATTTCTACTCGGGTTCGTGCTTCTAATCCGGCCTCAATTTGCATGGATAAACAGAAGAAACTCTCCTGCTGGTTATATTGCAACCTCTTCTTCTAAGTCAAAGTACAAGGCTTATCAGTGCGTCTTATTGATCGTTTCCGCAATTCTTCTCACAACGGGGTAATTAAGTAATTAAACAAAATTTTTTTTATCGTATGTTCGATTTCCGATTCGAATTTATAATATTTATTGCAGATTTACGGTTGGACTGGCTTTGCTCCTTCGAGGAGTTGACGGAAATGACCATTGCCCTTGGTGTCATTACCTAAGTTGTGTCCCTACGCCACTGTGGACTTGCGAAGCTCGTTGCGCGGTAAGAAAAATGTTTTTTTTTTTCTTTTTTAAAATTATATATATATAGGAAGAAAATATGTCAACGACTGAAATTCGGTATTGTTTTTAATTTGTTTTGTACGTACAGTCGAGCCAGTATGGGAATGAATTGAATTTGACGTGCATGCAGAACCAGAAAAGCAAGTACTACGAATTGGATAGTAGCAACAATAGCACTTCACAGATTCAGAGATTCTGTGCTGAACTTTGCAGTTGATCTATATATATATATTATATATATATATATATGCATGTGTTTACATATATACTACATTAATTATTTGACTTTTAAAAAAAAAAAAAGAATTCTATATATACTCATATATATGGTGACTGAACTTTGGTCTATTTTTATTTTTTTGTAAAAAACAAATAACATTAGTTAGTAATTATATTGGACACTAGGTTTTCTTCACTAGTGTGATAAGTTCTTTTCTTAAATACTAGCTTATAATTAATGCAGGTTGTGTAATTCTTTAATTAAATTGTACATCTAACTCATTTGCTCTAGCAAATCCAATTATTTCCGAGCTGAAGCCTTGTAAAAGCAATGTCGTCTTTAAGAAAAATATTTCCGAGTTGTTTACCGGGCAATAGCCCTCCCGGTAGTCTTCCAAGATACGCAGTCAAATACTTTGATATTTGCACAAATTCGAAGCCCTCGGTGAATTCGAAACGTAGCAGAATTTTTTTGACAGAAAATGTTACGCAAAAAAAAAAAAAAAAAAAAAAAAAAAAAAAAAAAACAACACCCTAGAATATTACCGTGGTTGTAAAAATTGAAATTAAAAAGCAACATGCTGAGTAATAATACATCATAGAATGAGAAGAAGATACATCATTGATGATTTTCGTGTGGGATATGTGAGGTTTAAGAAATTAAAATAGTAAATAATTGAAGAATAAACTATAATCTCTGATTATATAAAACAACAAAAACGAAGAAATATACAGTAAAAATGAGCCAAAATTTCATTAGGCTTAGAAAAAAGCGTACTTGCATAAACTTTTTTCAACATTGTCTCTAACAGTAACTTGGGCGAACAAATTTTTTGCTTCAATGACGATTTGAACAACAAAATCACCGTAAAAACGTGACGAAAACGGAAGATTTGAAGAAAATATAACAAATTTTGTGAGAAAAAACGGATTTAATGATTGTGGGTAAACGGGGGCAATAGTAGAGAGAGAAACGAATTTAACTGAGAAACGAATTTTATTAGGATATGGTAGCTTAATGAAATCAGGTATTTAATGGAGGGTATTCCGGTCAAAAGACAGGTCGATGGGCTTATATGCTAAACATATTTTGACGTGGACGTGTTTATCAATAAGTGTGGAACTATGGGCTTATTTGTAATATCCCAAAACATTATGACCAAAATAATTCATACAGTAAAAATTGTATAATCTTTACTATCTACAGTCTACACAGTAAACATTAATCCTAATTTAGTAAATAAACATTTTAAACATAAATATACGGTGCAGCTTGGCAGCTCGCCATTGTTACGAGTTCATCGTATTCAGTGCTAATTATAAGTTTTCAATTAGGCATTTTTGCCAGCTGTCCTTCGGTGTGGGGGTGTAATCTTCTTCTTCATTCAATCGGTTCTGCAAATCAATAAAATCAGAGGTGAATTACAGCCCTACTTATTCATTTTTTTCTTTTTTCTGTTGTATAAAAGTATAAAAATTTGGAATCAATTTGGTCTGCTTTTATGTGCTATCAATCTCTGTGGCATTGGGTTTGCGGAGAATCAGGGTTTGAAGTTTGGGAATAGTAATTTGCGAAATTATTTTTTGTTGTTTATCCCCTTTCGGTTTAGGGATTGGGGGTTTCGAATTTGAATTCAATTTCGATTTGCTGTTAAGTTTTTGTATAGTCTGTAATCTGGTGTACGGGTATTCGGATCATGATGAATCATGGGTATTCGGATCAAATCCGAACTGTGTATTTGGAAACATTAAAAAAAATAGTTTTTGCCATTCTGTTAATTCTGTAGTACATTGTGTAGTGGCGTTGATTATTTGAATTAGAGAGTATCGTTGATGTTTTCGGATTTTCGTTGTGCCAAATTTCCGGAACCAATATAGAAGCTGAAGTTTCTCTTCGATTTTGTTCGTTGCGTCTTTTGTCATGCGGAATTTGAGGTGTTTACGCACGCTCGAAACAGGGTTTTCGAATAAAATAAATTATTTTCTCTTAAATGATGATGCTTTTAGTTTTTTCTTTAGGTTCTACTTCATTGCCGTTACGCATTCAAAACCAGTATTTTGCTTTCAATTTTTGGTCATATCGAGGAAATTCTATGAATGAATTAATTAGTTACTGCAGTTTACACGTTCACGAACATTCTTACATTTGTGCACGTGTAAGTTGAGTATCCATGCAAAATGTAGTTTCGATGCGCTTAGTTTGTAATTATGTTTAACTGCTGATCACTGGCTACGTACAAGTACATAATCCAAACTAAATATAATACCTTGGCGAATTTGTTAAAATATGTTGTCCCTCTAATTGATAAACACTCGATTGATTCTGAGGTTCCATTAGGCTAAAATCGGAGCACGGGTTAATAAAACTCAGTTCTTAAAAAAATCCAAAAACATCAATTCATTTGATTAAAGCACATAACGTCTTGTGTTTTGTCCGATATCCTCGTGTGAGGAAAGGATGTATCTAATATGTGCTTTGAAATTTTAAAGGCTGACAATGGTTCGTCGAAGAGGTAAGAGAAAGACTGCTAGTTCCAGTAAAACTCTTGTGAATGAAGATGCGGAAATTGCTTTAGCTGTGGTACAGACTTCTGATTCACTGCCAGTGAATGTCGAAGAAGAAAAGACGGATGCTCAATCCGAAGATAAAGTAGAAATAGCTGGCGAAGAAGAAAGTGAAAAAATAACAGATGTAGACAGTGATGCTATAGATGAAATAGTTGCAGAAATAAATGGTGATAATAAGGCAGAACCAGAGCAGAGTACGTCTGAGAACGATGAACTTGATGATCAAGAAGACGTTATGTGGGATGATGATGAAGACAATTATGAAGAAGACGTTGCTTTTGATGCGGATGAAGTTACTGAGGAAGGGGCAACAGACGAAGAAAATGATGATGTGGATGAGGTTGGTGAGGAAGAGGCAACAGACGACGAAGAAGATGGTGACATGGATGATGTCAGTGAAGAAGAAGAAGCTAATAAAAAAAATACCCAAGAAGAGAAAGAAATTGCAAAAGGGAATGGAAAAGAAGCCGAAGCAAAAAAAGATGGAAAGGAAGCGAAAGAGCATAATAATACAAAGAAATCGGAAGTTAGTTTGAGAAACGTCAAGAAATCAAGTGAAAGAATTGGAAAGAATAAGTTGCAAGCAGAGAGGTCGGAGAAAGTGGAGGCTAAGGATAAGCCTGAACCATCACGTAAGACAAAAGTGAAGAAGAGAATGAAGAGCATGGGAATGATCTTCATTTGTAGTTCGAAGACGAAGAATGATTGCTATCAGTATAGGGTTCTTGGTCTGCCGGAAAGCAAGAAAGATATTGTGGAAAATATTTATACCGGGATGCGACTGTTTTTATACGATGTTGATCTAAAATTGATGTATGGCATTTATAAAGCTGCGGGACCTGGAGGTTACAACATCGAACCCAAGGCCTTCAAATCGCAGTTTCCATCTCAGGTTCGTCGTCTTTTTTTTTTCGAGTTTTATGTTATAATTATGTTTTTTTATCCTGCACGTTGTTTGTGAGTGTTAGGTAGATTTCTTCAGACATGACTCAAATACTTAGACAAGTGTGTCAAATGCAAAGTCATCATCTCCAAGAGGAAATTTATCAGTAATGTAACTCTAAAACGACCTTTATTTGAAGAATCTACGTGAAGACTGATAGACCATGATTGCCGTTTCGTGATTATTAGATGTAAGATAGTTATATTGATGTTTGAAATCTTGATGTTTATTAGAAACTGTTTTACTATATTAGGTTCGATTTACTGTTCTGGATGATTGCTTGCCACTGCCGGAGGAGAAATTCAAGAAAGTCATGAAGGAGAACTACTACACAAAGACCAAGTTCGATTGCCAACTCAATTCAGAACAGGTTAAGAAGTTGTGCAAGCTGTTTGTCACTTCAACCAAAGGGAACCGAACGAAAAAGTTAGGCAAGACCCTCAAAGCAGAAAAACCTCCACCTACACTCCGACGAGAGAGAATTCCAAGGCCAAGAACAGGCGGCGATGGGCCCCGCATTGCACCGAGGGAGGAAATCCGTTACATAGAGCGTCCACGTAAGCGCCCGAGGAGGGCAATTATTAGCCCATTACACCACCCACCATCTTCGTATCTCTACGACAAGAGGACTGCTGATGTGGATACTTCTTACAGGCAAGATCCATATCTAGACCGTCCAAGAGATAGACGCGATCCTTACAGAGATTCTGTGCGTGATTCTCCTCCACCAAGAGATCATCATTATAGAGACAGACGCGATCCGTATGTAGAGAGGCGCCACTATAGTTATAGAGAAGGTGCGGGTGTGGATCCATATCTAGATGGGCGGAGCCCGTATGCAGTGGAGGCCCGTGATTCGTATAGAGACGCTCGAGATCCGGTTTATCCCAAACGAACCGATTCTTACAGAGACGTGCGGGACCCATATGCAGTGGAGCCTCGTGATTCTAATAGAGACGCTCGAGATCCAGTTTATCCAAAACGACTTGATTCGTACAGAAACGGGCGGGGACCGTATGCAGTGGAGCCCCGTGATTCTTACAGAGATGCTCGAGATCATCCGATTTATCCAAAACGACACGATTCTTACAGAGATTTGGGTCGGGATTCGTATTTGGAGCGGAATTCCGATTTGGAGCGGGGTGGTCTCTACAGTTCGGAACCGTACAGTTCTTACAGGAGGGAGCCTATACCGTTTTACAGAGAAGAACCGGTGGTTGAGTACCGTGATTCTTATAGGCGGGAAGAAGTTTATGCTCCGTTGAGTACAATTAGGCATCGTAGCGACATTGGAAGTTTAAAACGGGAAAGGCATGAACCTATTTATTCTGCAGACTATCCTTCTTCTTCTTCGAGGGCACGTGAGTATCGTCTTTAGGTTGCCATTTTTCGAGACTGGTCTTTAATAATGTTGTTATTTTATTTTATTTATGGTTGCTACTTTTATCATGGCACTTGTGTCTGCTATATCTGGACAGTGCTTGTTCATTATGGCTGCTGCACAACACTTGTGTCAAATAAAACCTGATTATTTTTAAAAGACAAAATAATCTCGTGTTTTTTTCTTGTAATATATAAGACTGTAAAAAGTAGTTAAAACGGTTATGGCGGTTGCTTCCATAATCATGTAATAGCAATCATGTTAAGTTTTGTGTTTATCAAAAGGGTTTGAAATCATAGTATATTTGCAGCTCAAACGAATAAAATAAAATAATAATTCATGCCGATTTAAAAAGAAAAATCAAATTAATTAAATCATATACATTTAACTGATATTGGATATTGTAATAAAAAAAAATCACCAATTGCCAACCACAACAAAGTGGCCCCCTTCCCCAAATTTTCGCCCCTGAGAAGTGGCATATAATTATGAGTTGCTTCTGCACTCTCTGGGAACAGAAAATTATTAGGTTTCTTGAATTTATTCAATTTTCTTGAAATATATATAACTAATTATGACAATATAATATTAAATTTAAGAAAATGGGAATGCATTTGAAAAAACAAGATTAAATGTTGAAAAATGCTCTATTACATGTTGTTATATATATTTTCCAAAAGCAGATATTAGAATTAATTAGGTGACAGACCACTGCAGTCAAAGTGTATATGTTTAAAGTGCTGTCTCTAATGTCTATATCTCTTTATTCAAAAGTGAAACACTCTTGTGCATTCACACACACACACACACACACACACACACACACACACACACATAAATTTGGGTCAATTGTTCATACCTATAGTCAAGACATGTTTCCATTAGGTTTGGGTTTATTATTCTACTTCAACCCTTATTTTTCCTATGTTCCAAACTGAATATCAAACAATTAAAAAAATGAAAGTTGTAGCCTTGTGATTTAACTTCATAATGCAACTTCAATCACCTCAATTGAAGATCAAATGAAATAGTTATGATTAAAATTGTGAGCACTAATAATACACGGTTCTGCAGATGCTACACGCGGTGAAATACATACCCATGTATATGTGTGCTTAGTCAGGGGCGGACCCAGGGGGTTTCTTGGGGGGGCGGAAATATAGGGGTAATTTAAGAGATAATTTTTTTTTTGTTTTCAGGGACTAAAGTGTACAAAATTAAAAGTTTTGTGGGGCGAAAGTGTATAAACTAATACATAAATACCACAAAAAAAAAAAAAACAGCTTAAAAAAAAAATCTTGGGGGGGCGGGGGCCACCCCAGCCTTAGGCGTAGGTACGCCCCTGTGCTTAGTGGATAGTTATTTATACAAATCTACGGTTCAGAATCACCCGTTGTATTATACCAGGCGTAGCATCTCGTAAATCCCTATTACATAAGGATTTCAACATGGATTATTATTGGTCAAATATAAGTCAATGAAAAAAAAATGAAAGAACACCATGTTATTGATGTCAGGATAGGGCCATAAAGAATCTGCATTCTTGTGCAGGTAATCACATAACAAGTTGTACAGAGTAAGAGCACATTTGTTATGTGTAATTGCCAAAAAGACCCTTATAATAAAATAATTAGCAAATACCTCTATATTGTATTATGCTTGGCAGTTAGCACACTATTAGTTGAGAAGACAAAACTATCCCTCACAAGGAATAGTTTATATTTAAAGAAAAAACACTACTTAATTTGACTATACCAATTTGTATCCATATGTTTATATTTATTACATATTTCTCTGGAACTTATAATTTTTAATTCTCTTAAATAAATCTTTAGGGTGTTTTTGGCAATTAGACATAATACAGGGGTGACAAACAAAAAATCCAACAAGTTATACGGCAATTATTTATACATTTATTATTATTATTATTTTTTTTGACAATATTTATTTATTATTATTATTGAAAAAATGATCAATAACCAAATTTATTCATAGGGTGGCGGCAAATTCAAAACTAAGGATGACTTTTACTTTCAAAAAAGAAAATAGAAAACTAGATATGAATGACTTTTTTGGTCCGTTAATTCAGCAATAAATTGTGCAAAATAAGTGTTTCTTTAAATTAATTTGACCAATCCGATATATAATATATACATCAATATTTATATCAAATATAATTAAAGTCAACGACTTTCTAAAAAAAATAAAAGTCAACGTTAATGGCAAGTATTAGTATTCTACATGATCAAAATCCTTGGCTAAGGTTTGCTAGAAATGAACTCAAAGAAAAGTTTGTTGAATGCCATAATTCATAATTTATGTAAACAACACTACAAATAAGTATCTTCCATTGATTTTATTTTATTTTTATTTAATTTAAATTATATTTTTTTGAGAAAAGATATTCCAATGCTTTATGTGTACGAATTAATTTATTAAGCCGAATAATTCGCCATCATAATCAAATTTTCAATTGAAAGATTTCTGTTTTGACAAGCAAGAATATCACATATTTCTACACTCACTTGATAATTTTCGACTCAAAAATCAAATATTTCTTATGAAACTTTTGGGGAAAATGTGTACGTTTATTCGGCTTTGTAGATGCTACACTCGGTGAGATATATAGGGCAATTCTGCACAATTGATCTACATAATAACGCACACACCCATGTATGTGTGTGCGAGCGTGATTATTTGTAGGTCAAATTATGAAAAAAATCCTTGTTCTTTGGTTAATTACAATTACCCCTTCAACTATGTATTATCTTACACGTTCAACCTTGTGATTTCAAATTTACCTACCGAAAGAGGAGTTTTTTTCGAAAAATAATACATAGTTGAGGGGTGGTTGTAATTACTCCAAACGGACAATTTTTTCGTAATTTAACCTTACTTAAGAGGGTGTCCGTAATTTGCCCTTATTTGTATAAATCTACAGTGCAAAATCACCCGATTTTTTTCACCAAATGTAGTATCTCGTACACCCATTTATTCTATGCCTAAATTTCAGGACAAAAAATGTCAAGTCATAGATTTAACTTTCGGTCAAAGAAAATCATTATAATTTAGAAAAAAATGAGAGATACCAAAGCACAAAAATACCAAATTACAAAAGTTAAAATGGTAGAATGTAATCAACTAATAATAAAATATATAAATAAATAAACAATTTTGATATACTCATAATATTCCAATTTTACAGTTATATGCCTACATCAATGGCTTTAATAAATTAATTAAAAATAATAATAATTTATATAATTATTTTGTTAACCAAGGTAGATATCAACGGTTTGTCCTTTGCGTGGGTTACATACAAATTGTATTTAATCGTCTTTGTTTTTTCCTAATATTTTTCTTCTGTTTTTTTCTCCTTTTATGGGAATAAAACCTGTACGACGTCGCATCAAAGGTGGATTTTTCTTGTAGGGTGTGAACAATATTAATTGATTTTAATTGGCTTGTACGTATTTTTTTTTTTAATTAATCAGACAAACATAATTTAAATTTCATAGGTGAAGATAGATTATTAGCAATGGACTATACTAATTACTAATACACAAAATTATTATCGGTTCGACTTTGAAATAGCGTTGATATAAGTTACAAGCAGCACTGGAGCCGGGATTTTAAGTCCCGCTGTTAACAAGGGCCAAATGTATTAAAAAAGTTCTGAGGAGTGTCGTCATACTAGCTCCGCCACGGCTTACAAGATCACACTAGCAAATTAGAAATCATTAGCGGAACCAGAATTATAAGTTCGAGGGAGCCGACACATTAAAAAAAAATCTGAGAGAAGGCGTTCATGCTTCTGTACACAACTTTTTTCATATTTTTCAATAAATTTATAGAGATTTGAGAAACGTAAAGGGGGTCATGGCCCCTGACCTTATGTTGGCTCGGCTACTATCAGAAATGACAACTAATAAATATTGGAGTGTAGGTTGAATGAATTATTATTAATGTGGATCTAAAAGAAAGGAGACAAAAAGGTAAATCCAAGAAGAGTTAAACCAATAGGTAATGATTTAATGATTAGCATTAAGACATGGTAAATTAAAAACACGCCATAATTATGAATGCTAGTCCAATAGTCCCCACATGCTGCCATAATTCTTAATTCCCATGCATGGAATTTTTTTACCAATTACTCCTTTTTTTCAAAATTTTCCCCCTAAAAAGTAAATAAAAAATTAAATTTATCTTCAAAGAGAAGTGGGATGCACATGGTGGAATTGATAATTTTGTTCATACATGTAACCATTAGTGGAGCCAGGATTTTAAGTTTGGAGAGATCGAATACTAAAGAAAAAAAATCTAGGAGGTCGTCGTTAATGCCATTATACACAATTTTTTTTTATAATTCGGTATAAAATAATAGGAATTTGAAAAATATTGGGGGTCATGACCCCATGCCCCTATGCTGGCTCCTGGACGTGACATTGAAGTTTTATTCCACGACAATTTTCCTACATAGTAATTAATCATTATTTTGTTTTAAAATTTTGAGAATGTGATTTGTTTGTCCTAAAAATATATTATATTGTTTTATTTCCAAACGTCATAACTATTAGCGGAGTCAAGATTTTAAGTTTACGGGGGCCAAATGTATTAAAACTTTTATGAGAGCGGACAATATATTTTAAATCCTTACAAAGAAATTTTGCAGATTCGAGAACTGCTAGTGGACCATGACCCCCTCTGGCCTTATGTTGACTCCATTAATAACAAAATTCTAACCAATAAAGTTTATTAATAATTTAACAAACTATTTTTTTATTTGTTTTCAAGAATTTGGTTTAAAAAAAGAATCCGGTTAGAAATGGGTAGGGTCAAGAGTGGGGAGCGGGTAGCTCGAGATTGGTGGAGCCCAGAAGCAGTTAAAGCCCTTAAATTGCGGAAATTAAAATGGGGCCCATATTAGTAGAGCTTTGGATACCGGGTTGGGCTTTTTAACCCAATGTGGTTGAATGTATGGTATTTGTCCTATGTATTTAAGTGGGGCCCACTTTTTATTCTTTTTTCTTCTTTTTTCTTTTAGTTGAAGTTTCTGTTAATTATGGCCGCTTATTACGCCTAAACTTTCGATTCAAGCAAAGTCGTTGTACGATTTATATCCTCGCTTTTCATGCATTTTCTCTAACTAATTCTTCTCTTTAAATACTCTTTTTTTTTTATTTAATTTAAAACGAAATATTTTATTTGGAAGATGTTCGCTTTCATTATTTGTGAAAATATAGATGTTTGATTATTATCTTTCATAACTCAAAGAATTAGACACGGAAACATGTAAATATTAAAAATATAAGGGTACATCAATAATTTAATAAAAATAAATTATAATTTATAATGTTCAAATTTTGTATTTATAGGCAACTTTTGCTTATCTGTATTGAATTAGACCAGATTACATTAGATTGAATTAATTTTCTATTGGTTAACTACAGTAGAACCTCGATAAATTAATACCCGATAAATTAATAACCTCGCTTAAATAATAAATTTTCCCGGTCCCGACTCGGGGACAACGTGCTAAATTAATAATTCGCTAAATTTATAAGATAATACACATTCGAAAATTTTAAGAAGCCCCATATAATATATAAATTAATAATGCATAAAAAAAATTCTTAAATTACATGGTACAGTGCATATTTTATAGATCTATGAAGGCTTAATATAATATAATTTAATTCTCACTTGTTTCTTGTAGAAGTTCACATTGCCATCAATCTCGTCCCTCACTTTTCTTAACATGGTTAGAACTTTCGGTATAGTTTTCTCATAACTCAGCATAAATCGTTCTATACCATTACTGTTTTAAGAGCTTCCAATCGTGAAACGGACTCTATAGTGCATTGAACAAAAGGTACAGTGAATAATATATACGTAAAAAATAAAAATAAAATGTATTTATTAAAAATAATAATAAAAGTAATTTCATAAATTAATAAGTTATTAATTAATGTATAAATTAATAATTATTAATTTATCGATAAGTTAATATTTCGCTAAATTAATGAAATCTTGATGGTCCCAACTGTATTAATTTATAGAGGTTTAACTGTAATTAGTTAGTTAATAATCTGTTTCGTTCTAGATAACATGTTGTCTTACATTTGTTAGATTATGCTATGTCAATTGTCTATAAAGACTTTTATTTAATAAAATTAAGTTATTGGTTTAAAGATAAAATTGTAATTTTCTGTTTTAGTCAATCCTTACAAAATTAACCGCGTGGGCGAGAAGTGTTACTAATTTCATAACATAATAACACTTAATTATGTGATTCAAGTTTAATATCGGACTTGAGTAATGTTGGAATTTGGAACTACCAACCAGACATTTTAATAACTTCTATTGTTTAGTTAATCTAACCTAATAGTATCAAGCAAACGAGCCCAACGTAAACAAGTTTACATAACATAACTTAATCACATAATACATAATTATTTATATATTTAAAATATATAGTTGGACGATTTTATGATTGTTGCATCTAAAACACACAACTAATATTCATTTCCTAAATTAGGTCAACTCTTCATATTTTAATTAATTATATAATATTCGTTGCTCAAACAAAACTAATCTATAACCATTAAAATGGACTGCCACAGTTTGAAAATTGAATTCGGAATGTTTTGTCAAACAGGTGGGCCCCATACAATCCAGGGTTTCGCAACAGTTGGAGCGTAAACCCCACGCGCCATCGTATAGCCTTACATTTACAAAAAGACTGTAAAAATATTCCCGAAACAAGACCACTGCTTCCACTTAAATTACAAAAGCTGCCATTGGGCGCCCACCCCCTCCCTCCATAAGTACCACTCTTCCCTCCACTTCCTTCTCACTCATCCCACCCCTTTCTCTCTCTAACCAAACCCTACTCCCAATTTCTAGTGAGAGAAAATGGCTCTCCTCGCTGTAATAGCCTGCATTGCTACAATTGTTTCAGTCCTGCCACCACCAATTGAGGCGAGGATTCCCGGCGTGTACTCCGGCGGTGGCTGGCAGGGCGCCCACGCCACCTTCTACGGCGGCAGCGACGCCTCCGGCACTATGGGTACTTAATCAGCCACTTCAAATTCCGGTCACATTTTATATATTAAATTTTTTTTATTAATTAGTAAGTTTGAACGTATATATATACAGGTGGGGCGTGCGGGTACGGGAATCTGTACAGCCAGGGTTACGGAGTGAACACGGCGGCGCTGAGCACGGCGCTGTTCAACAACGGCTTCAGCTGCGGGGCATGCTTCGAGATAAAGTGCGCCAACGAGAAGCAGTGGTGCCACGCTGGCAGCCCTTCCATCCTGGTCACGGCCACCAACTTCTGCCCGCCCAACTACGCCCTGCCCAACGACAATGGCGGGTGGTGCAACCCGCCCCGTACCCATTTCGATCTCGCCATGCCCATGTTCCTCAAGATCGCCGAGTACCGCGCCGGAATTGTCCCCGTCAACTTCCGCAGGTGAGCCAATGAACCATTCTCTTTCTGCTTTTTTCGCTTTTGCTCTGTTTTTTTTTTTTTTTTTTTTCCTTTTTTGCACGCGCGCGCGTTCTGCCTACTTGCTTTCATGTGACTGTCATGCGTCACAGTGATGTCATTCTATGCGATTATCCTTTAGTAATCCTTTATAAATATTTTTTTAGTGTAATTACTAAAAAACCCCTGAACTTAGTCTAAATAACGAAAAACACACTATCTATCCGTAGTAACCAAAATCTCCCTCTTATTAACTTTTGATCCAAATTTTTCAACATGAAATGTGTACAGTGTACTATACCTTTTGTTAAGTAGGTGAAATAAAATAATATATTTGAAATTGTGTAAAATCTATTCCCTGGAATTAAAAAAAAATCCACGAAAAATCACACTATAGTAGTTGGTTTAAGACAGAAAACAAAGATTGAGAGTTTTTGATAATTACGAATAGGTGGAACTGATTTTTGTAATTTAATCTAAGTTTTAGAGGTTTTCGGAATTTATCATGCTATTTAATTAAGTAGAATGAACAAATCTACGAACAAAATGTAGTTTCTGAAGGAGTGAGGGTGTGAACATGTTGTAATAAACTGACAGACATTCCAGAAAAACTGCCCGCATTTAGTTAGTTGCACATGGTTAGTTGCTGCACGGTCAAAAACACACACACCAACACGACGTCGTGTTGACGAGGCATTTAAGTTGTCCCGGACCTGAAACACACCACGTGAGCGAGAGAGTGTTCGTTAGTACTAGTGTGGGTCCCACTGCATCATCCTATTTTCTCCAGCCACTAGGATCTTGACACATCACGTAAAATCCTGACCGTCTATCTGAATGTACAAGTCAAGCATCAGACCCTAGGTGGTGGTGGAATCACATTCTCCGATGCGTTTTTAGATGTGAAAAGTCCTCCGCCGCCGTACTGCCTCCTCATCCTTAATTCCCGCTCCCCATTACCCCATAAAATTAATAATTCATATATATATATATATATACATATATGTATGCATAATTTTTAATTGGAAAAATACACTTTTAATCCATCAAGTTTATCCGATTTCACATTTAGTCCCCGATATTCACAAAAAACATATTATGTCTCTCATGTTAAGAATATTCAACATTTTATAGTATTTTCCATCAAGCATGCGTCCACCACTACATTAACTGATGGACTAACGGTAAGTTGAAGCAGATGACCAAAAGTGTTAAATTATTGACAAATGAGGGATCAAATATATTTTTTGTGAACATCAGGGATCAAATGTGAAATATATGTAAATTTGAGGGGTGAAACTGTAATTAAAAAAATATTCATTGAGAAATTAGAGCTGAAAAATAATAATGAGGTGTTTGTTGTATGTTACAGGGTGGCATGTAGGAAGCAAGGAGGTATAAGGTTCACAATAAACGGGTTCCGTTACTTCAACCTGGTTTTGGTAACCAACGTCGCGGGTGCAGGGGATATCGTGAGGCTGAGCATAAAAGGTACGAGGACTGGTTGGATGAGCATGAGCAGAAACTGGGGTCAAAACTGGCAGTCAAACTCTGTTCTGGTTGGTCAGTCACTTTCCTTCAGGGTCACAGGCAGTGACCGACGCACTTCCACCTCATGGAACATTGCTCCCGCCAATTGGCAATTCGGTCAAACATTTGTTGGAAAGAACTTCAGGGTTTGAATTTACCGATTTACCCCTAGGGCTTTTACGGAATTTTGAAAAAGAGGAGGAGAGAGAAGGTATTATGAATTTGGAGTTTGTTTCTCTGTTTTGAGTTTTGGAGAGAGAGGAAGAAAAGGCTGAGGCGGCTGCACAAAATACTGTAGCCCGCAGTTTCTATAAAATTTAATTACATAGTTTTCTATTTGGGTAAATGGTGTGTGATGGTATTTTTACTTTCTTTATTTTAATGGAAATGCTTGTTTTTTTTCATTTTGTTTAAGCTTTTTTGTTTAATTAATAAATATTATACTGTTAACTTAATTATGATTTATGACCATCAATTATCTCATGGCGGGATGTACGGCCTATGAGATAATCGTATAATACATCTGATGAAATACACAATATAGTTTAAAATTGTAGATCAATAACGTAAAATTACCTGGTGTATTTAATGAAGTGTAAATTCTGCAATACTGCGGAGACACATTAAGTGATAATCAAACGGTAGTTGCTAATATTTGAGGTGAATACACTATAAGTAACAATATTTGTATTTTCTACCGTTGAATTAATTTAAGAATGATTGATGGATTGAGAAATTGCAATAACAAAGATTGTTATATAAAAAATAAATTAGGCAATCCCAATTTGAATGCATGATAAATTTCTATGCTAATGACTAACTTTTAGACTTTGAAACTTATCCTTTCCTTTTCTTTTATGTGACAACAACCATAGTGGGTAGAAAAAGGGGGAAAAAATTGGATCAAAGAAAGAAAAAGGGGGGAAAATAAAGTACGCATACACAATCAAAAGGAATCGTTAAAAACGATACAAACTCTAACTAAATAACTTCGTTTTTAGGTTTAGATTTTTTCCTTAAATACTTGAAAAAATCCACATTATAAAAACTATGCCTGACAATCGTGACAATCTCGATCTAACAATTGTTGAAAAAAAGATTTTAGCTTTGGTCATTTTACACAAGCTTTTCTGATCCAACCGTTAGCTCATGGCTTCCATGACATTTTTTTCTTTTTACATTTATGCATGATGATAGAAATTCAATTAAAAAATCAAAATTGAAACAATGGTTACAAATTTACACGCTCTAAACATTGGATCCTCTCTCTACTGTTGGAAAAGGTGAAGACAAACGTAATAGCTTTGGATACCTACCTCGGTGCGCTTGTAATAAAGAAAGTAGAAATATCTATTTGTTTGTCAAGAAGAACTAAAATCGTGAAACACAAAAATCTTATATATAAAAGAAAGAAACGCAAGGGCAACCATAAGAAACCCTAATGTCATATTTGTAATTGTTTTTCAATTTTTATCTCCTTAATATTATTTTAATATTATTTTCGAATTTTATCATATTTGTATCCCCGAAATATTATTTTAAATATTATTTTTTTATTTTTATCAGATTTTTGTCTCCTTAATATTATTTTTTATTTTTATCAAATTTTTATCTCCTAAATATTATTATAAATAATATTTTTTTAATTTTATCAATTTTATATCTCCTAACTATAATTTTAAATATAATTTTCAAATTTTAGCAGATTTTTATCTCCTAAATATTATTTTTCGAATTTTATCAAAGTTATATCTCCTAAATAATATTTTTAAATATTTTTTTCGAGTTTTATCATGTTTTTATTAGTTTTTTATCTCCTAAGGGCTCGTTCGGTTACCTATATTGGATTAGATTGGATTACATGAGATTGGATTAACTCCCTACTGACTAATTAATTTTTTAGTTAGTAGCATGTTCGGTTTGTTAGATTAGACTTTCTATTAAATTTGTTAAAATCAGTTATTATATATGAATTGTCTATAAAACCACTTAGTTTACAATAATAAAATATAATTTTAAGGATAAAATTGTATTTTTCCTTTTTAGTCACCCCCTATTAAATTAATCGCAGGGGGAGGGGTGCTACTAATTTAATGAAATAGTAGCATTTAATAGCGGGCTTTGAATTTAGTAGCGGGTTTGAAAAAATGTGAATCTTACCAACCGGACATGTTATTAGCCCCTACTATTTAGTCAGTAGAACCTTATAGCGGTAACCGAACGAGCCCTAAATATTAATTTTGTTTTTATCAGATTATTGTCTCCTAAACATTATTTTCGATTTTTATCAAATTTTTATCTCCTAAATATTATTTTAAATAATAATTTTGATTTTAATCATATTTTATCTCCTAAATATTATTCTAATTATTATTTTCGTATTTTATCAACTTTTATCTCATTAACATTATTTGAAATATTATTTTCGATTTTTATCCAATTTTTATCTTCTAACTATTATTTTAAATTTTATTTTTGATTTTTATCAGATTTCTATCTCCTAAATATTATTTTTTGATTTTTTTATCAAATTTTTATCTCCTAAATATTATTTTAAATATTATTATCGATTTTCATCAAATTCTCCTAGATATTATTTATAATAATCTGATTTTCGATTTTTATAGAAAAGGGTAAATAAATCTGATTTTCATCCCTAGCGAATTTTGTGACATCGTTTTACATAATGTCTGCAACATTTGAATTTTATTTCTTCCCTACCTAAGGCTTCTTCTTTTGGTAACCCGACTTTAGATTTTGTTTTTTATCTTCTTCATCCTATTGACTGTGTGGCAATTAGTTTACATCTTTTTCCATCATGGCTTATAGGTAATTTCATTTTGTTAAATTATGTGTTTCATTAATTTATACCAAAGTTTTCAAATTTTATGTATAGCAATTATTTCATTTTATATGTTATTGGACATGTTATTGAAATGGATGATTTGAGAGAATTAACCAAAAATGGGCGGAGCCATAAGCTATTGGAAGTCGACCTTCAAGACTTATTGTTTGTATGCGATATTTAATTTATTGTTTATATTTATTTTTGTTTCTTAATTTTCCAATTGTTAATTCCAGTGGCAAAACAGCCTGAAAATGAGGCAGTGGAGAAGGGCTTAGTTCCGATGCAAGATGTATAGATGGCCTTTTATGTTGTCGATAGTTTAGTTTTGATTATGTTAACTAAGTTATTAAATCTAATTTTTTAAGCTCAACATGAAAGACATAGTTGATGATTTTTTTTCCTGGTTCAAATTTTCAATCTACTGGTATTAGCTGATTCAATTCATTTGGAAAATTATTCAACAGTAAAGTTATTTCTTTTTTTTTTGTGTGTAGTATATTTAATGATGTTCCAGTATAATAAAATTTTGATCATACGATACATCAAACGTTTGTTTATATTCTTACAACATCAAAACAATGCAATTTGTTGTCCCGTGCATCGCACGGGTACAATTACTAGTTATTTATTAAAGGGAGAGGCATTTTTGTTTAATTAGCTGCACTAGTTCGAAAGGTGTATAGATCAATTTAATTGGTTTATGGGCTATGGCTAATTAATTAGACTACTTTCGGCCAAATTAAATGGGTCGGGTCAAAGTGAAGCGGCAACCAAGGCCTCATGTGTAAGCCCATGTTGTTTTAAGGCCATTAAATTAAAAAAAAAAGGCTTGAGCAATGTTGAATCTTATCAATCGAATATCTTACTAACTCCTATTATTTAGTCAATATAACCTAATAGTAGCAAACAAACGAGACCCAAGAATAAAATATTATATTTTTCTCTTTTTAGTCATCCCTACAAAATTAATCTTAGAGGGAAGATTGTTACTAATTTAATAATATAATAGCATGTAATTTCAGACTTTCATTCGGGTACCGAACTTGAGTTATTTTGAATATTACGAACCAAACATCTTATTAATTACTATTATTTAGTCAATCCAACGCAACAGTGCAACACAAACAAATGCCTTAAAAAATATTGATTGCAGTTAGAGATATTATATATATCATTATTTAACAAAATGATTATATTAAAGAAAAGAAAAATAAAGGAAATAAGACAATAGTGAAAATAAAGAGTGTGCGGATTTAAATTTGGAATGACAGACTGTCTCCAACTTGCCTAATTCTGTGGTCTCACCATCCACAAAAATGTGTAATTGCTTCCTTATTTAATTTTGATTGCTCTTCTATTCTTACAACTCAAACTTCACAGAATTCTCTCTATTTTTATTCGTATATTTATTTATTGATTTATATATATATTTATTATTTATTAAAGAATCGTATTCTGACGGTGAATAAAGGGTACCTTTTCTAAGTTATTCTAAAATCTAATCCCAATCAAACTTTATATTATATAAATAAAAAGGACCAAAAAATAAGAATAGATTGGCACACACGTGAACAATCCTCAGCCTACCTTCACATGCACACAAGAATACAAAAGTTCTAACCCATTACAGAAACTTCCCACTCCACATTATACATACGGTAAATTACTGCCACCCCGAGGTAATGTTGAATACTTGAATTACGAAAAACCCCCTCATATTTAGGTAATTACAGTCATCGATCAACTATGAATCTTTTTATACGTCCATTTTTATCGTGTCAAATGTAACATAATTTTCTAGATCCCGTGGAATGTTCTCTAATTTATACTCGTTTGGTGCGAAAATGGAGTTTCTGATGCACCGCAGTCTAATATTTAAAACCAAACAGACACTTTCAAAATGTGTAGCTCAAATGGGAAAATATGCTACGTAATCTGAAAGAATATTCCACTAAATTTGACACAGAAATAGTGGACGTGTAAAAGATTTATAGTTAAACAGTGACTGTAATAACCCAAACATAGAAGATTTTTTCGTATTTTGACCATACCAAAAAATAGCCGTAATTTACATTATATATATATACATAATATACATACATCCCACTAAAGTTTGTCTCTCTCTCTCTCTCTCTTACTTTTTCATTATTCTTCTTCCTCCATGGCTACTCCAAAACATTCTTCTTCTTCTTCTCCATCTTCATTTACATCCCACTTCATAATAGTATTAGCCATTATATTACTACAATATTCCGGCAACATAGTTACAGTTTCATCGGTTTTGCTCGTCGGTCTGAAAAACCACAACAACAACAATGTACACCATAGAAGACCAATGCTTCAAGCAAACCAGAGCTCCTGCGCTCTGTTCATGGGCAACTGGGTACACGACGACACCTATCAACCCTACCAATACTCCTGCCCCATCATCGACCCAGAATTCAACTGCCAGATGTACGGCCGTCCCGACACCGATTACCTCAAGTTCCGCTGGCAGCCTGCCAATTGCCAAATCCCCAGGTAAAAAGAAAAAAACTCAGCTAGGCAAAAACACAAACACTTGGTGGGCAGACCACATATGATTGTGTACGTATATATATATATATATATGTAGGTTCAATGGGGGTGAGTTTGCAGCGAGAATGAGGGGGAAGAGCGTGATGTTTGTGGGGGACTCGTTGGGGAGGAACCAATGGGAGTCGTTGATTTGCATGATATCGGCGGGGCTGCCGGCGGCGTCGCCGACGCAGATTATCAGAGGGGACCCACTCTCCGTATTCAAGTTCTTGGAATATGGGATTACGGTGTCGTTTTACAGGGCGCCGTACCTTGTCGACATAGATTCCGTGCAGGGGAAGAGAGTGCTCCGATTGGGCGATATTCGGGGGAATGGGAATGCTTGGACCGGTGTTGATGTTCTTTCTTTCAACACCGGCCATTGGTGGACTCACAAAGGTGCCCTCCAAGGGTAATAACGTCATTTCCGTATGTCATTATATATATTATATATATGGGTAAATTACAACACCCTGAAGTATGGGCAAATTACGAAAAAACCCCTCATGATTGGATAATTACAACCACCGTCAACTTATAAATCTTCTTACACGTCCACCCTTGCGGTGTCAAATTTAGTGGAATCTTCTAGATTATATAGAATATTCTCAATTTTGTATATGTTTTATCCCGTTCGAACTCCACATTTAGAAGAAAGATGATCATAAGATGTGATTTTTTGGCTTGTATATATATTAGAAATTCTGTATTTTTTGCAAAACGAGTACGAACTAGAAAATATTCAACGGAATCTAAAAAAATTAAAAAATTATGTTGAATTTGACACCATAAGGATGGACGTGTAAGAAAATTCATAGTTGAGGGGAGTAGTTGTAACTATCCAAACATTAGGGAATTTTGTAATTTGACCATACATTAGGTAGGGTGGTTGTAATTTACCTTATATATTAATTTTTTATTATTTATTTTTAAAATGAATTATATTTGCAGGTGGGATTATATGGATGTAGATGGAACACTGTACCAAGATATGGATAGGTTGGTGGCAATGGAGAGAGGGATGAGAACATGGGCAAATTGGGTAGATTCAAATATTGACACAACTAGATGCAGAGTTTTTTTCCAGGGCATTTCTCCCACTCACTACAAGTATGTCTTCTTTTCTTTAATTGAAATTTCCAATTATCTGATATCGTTTCGACGTCGAACGTGATTTCTTTTGACAATTTTCTAGTCTAATTTTGGCAAAATTGAAAATACGGAAACTGTAGAACTCTGAGTTTTCTTTGTAATCCAATCCAACTTGAATCAGTTAGACTGGATGACGGACAACAATTTTGAAAGTTTTGTGCACTTCTGATTGAATCATGCATATATTTCTCACTCGACATTCAATTTTGACTATTCAAATTAGATTAAAAACCTAACTCAAAGAGCTATAAATTCTATAATTTTTGAGTTTTGCCGAATAATATGATTAAAATTGAAGCGACATTTATCACGTCATTTTTAATTAGTTGAACCCAATTAATAAGTTAAGTGTGAATACTAAAATAATGCATACCTACAATTTATATATCTATATGTGTGTGTCTGAAATAATTGTTGAGTGCCAGCTTGTTTGAAACTGCTTCTGTCTTTTAGCTTTTGAAAAGAAGTAGATTCTCTATTATTGGATTGGTTGACTGTGTTGTTGACCAAATTAGATGGTGTAGAGGCTGCAACAGTTTTTTGCTTCAATTAAAGTATGTGCTTTTGTCCAAAATATATAAAGAGGTCTAATAAATTGATTTTTCTATATGCAATAAAGACAATTAAAAGTTGTAATCAGAAATCAGCAAAAAGCTGGATCCCATAGTCGACTTCAATAATTGTACAATTTTTTATAGGGTAAATTACGAAACACCCCTGAACTTAGGCTAAATTATGAAAGGCACCCCGACCTAATTGGAATTACAAAAATCTCCCCAATATTTGTTTTGATTTTACACTGACCACCCCCTTGTAGTGTGATTTCACGAAATCTTTTTGATTCCAGATAATATTCCTCAAAAAATGTCAATTCTACCGCTAGAACAATCTCTCACATCGCAATATCACTACACTTCCTGGATTTCCTAGTACGAACCATCATAGGATACATAGGCAATCTTTTTAAACTTGTGCATGTCTACCTTCAATATATTTTACGTTTGTAGGGGTATAATTGACATTTTTTAAGGAATATTCTCTAGAATAAAAAAAGATTCCATGAAATTCATCAAAGATAACTCAAAAATTAATTCCAAATTGAAAATTGTCCATCTCATTTGAAATCCTTCCCTAAATTCTCTTCTCAAATAAAAATCATTCGATCCAAAAATACTCTTATTTATTCCATCCACTTCAATCACAATCAATTTATTATATATGTTAATTCTCTCATGTGAAATTACTCTTATTCTAAAAACAAAAAAAAAACATAACTTTTTTATTTTTTATTTAATTTTTATTTATATAGATTTACACCTTTGAACTTGTGAATTGAACCAAAATTATGAATGTTGGCATGTGAGAGTTGACATACACATTTATAGGGGGTAGTCAGCTTTTGCACTCAACTTGTGCGGTGCCCTAAATTCCAAGACCCACAAAAACCACTCACACACATAAATGCTTAGGTTGAGTAATGTTCTTGCATTACCAAACATGAACACCTTCCTCTTTATTGCATTATCCTTCTATTTCTTTTTTAATTTTTATTTAATTTAAAAAAAAAAATACTATATCTAAAATATATCCATAAATTTGGATGGTAGATTAGGGTTTCTGCATATGCTACACTCTGCATCATTAATCTACACATAATAACACACACATCCATGTGTATATGTGCTTACTGAGTAGTTATCTGTATAGATGTATAGATCAATGGTGCAAACTCACCTACTGTATTTCACCAGACGTAGCATCTCACTGACCGTAGTATATTAAATAAGTAGTAATATTTGGGAATAATATACAAAGAATTAATAAAGATGTGTGTTTTTTTTTTTTTTGCAGTCCAAGTGAGTGGAATGCAGGGTCGGTATCAACAGCGAAAAGCTGCTACGGAGAAACGATGCCGACGACCGGTTCAACGGGTTACCCGGGTATATACCCTGATCAGATGAAGGTGGTGCAGGTGGTCCTATCTTCAATGAATAAGCCTCCATTCTTGCTGGATATTACTTTGCTATCTGCTATGAGAAAAGATGCACATCCATCAATCTACAGTGGAGATCTAACGGCTGAGCAAAGAGCTAATCCTGACCATTCAGCTGATTGCAGCCATTGGTGCCTGCCCGGACTGCCCGATACTTGGAACCAGTTATTCTACACTGCCCTCTTCTTTCTACACTAGTATACACTTTTTTCTTTGTTACTTTTTTTTTTTTATGTCCCTTTTATGTTTAATTATATTAATAATCCATCAATATATATAGTTCTTTTTTATAGTTTTGAGAAAATGTTGAACCTCTATAAATTAGTACAGGCGTGTCTAACAAAATTCTATTAATGTAACGAAATATTAAATTATTGAATTAATAATTTAATAAGTTTTTACCGAGTCGGGATCAGAAGAAATTATTAATTAAGCGAATTTATTAATTTATCGAGTATTATTTTATCGAGGTTCTACTGTAATGTTAAACTAAATTTAACAGCATAGAGTACCTAATGTAACCACTCCAGTCCTCTTTATTCGAGCTCGTTACGAAGATATCGAGTTCTGAGTTTCTGGAAAAAAAAAATCAAGACGGAAACCGTGTAAGAATTGAGTTCGATCAGATTGGAAAAAAAAAAGAATAGAATATAATTCAAAATCAAAATTCACTGCAACATTTAATAAATCGATTTGCAAAACAGGAATCGTCTAAGAATGACTAGGTTCGTCGACAAAGAAACTAAAGCAGTAATTCATAAGGAAACTATGGAATTTTCAGTTGAGTTAGCATATAAATATATTTGTCTGCAATAATTCGCGACAAGGAAGAACACTGATTTTCATCGAATTAAATGTTACCTCACATAAGTTAGCTAAGTCGGTATAATAACTCAAGACCAACCATCAATACGCAAAGATTTGACACGGATGAAACGAGAACCACACTTGATCCTCAATCAATCTAAAATTCATCACCTTACCTATAAAAGCTATGAATCGTATCGACAAAATCACCGAACCCGATATAATTCCAACATGCACCACCGATTCAGAAAATCAATTATACATCAGAAAACGTCAACTACGTAAAGGAAAAAAACTGAATGCAGAAATCAGAGAATTAATTGAAGAAATTAAAACCTCGGATTTGCCACCGGCACTAATGCCACACGTGTCTTTCGTATAAATATCGGCCTCCAGGACCCCTCATTCTACCTCAGCTGCTCTTCCTCACTTTAAACATCGTTTTTTTTTCCCGTTTTCTTGATCCTCATTTCCCTCCTTTTTCTACTCGATTTTTCCTCTCTCCGCTTCCTCTTTCCATCATCTAATTAGTGGGGACCGCTTGCAGCTATCTTAAAGAGCATCAATGGCAGGTAACTAAATTCAGCACACATAAAAGAACCCATTATTTGTAAGTATGGAGTACATTTAGGTTTCAATGGAAGAAATGAATTTGCAAGTTAGTTTTAAAATTCATAATGATAAATTCAATAAATTTGATTGGATGAATTCATTTTGCAATGAACTTCAAATTTTTTAACTCTCATTTCGAGTCGTTTCGTTGAATTTCAAATCCATTTGATTATAAGTCGTTTAAAATTACTTTCCGAAATCGTTCAAAATATCCAAAATTTTCCAACCAAATGCAACCTAAGGTTGGAATAAAAGATTTGGATATGATAACATGATTTGGGAAAATAATTTCAAACGAGGGGATTTGAATTCAACGGGATAACTCGAATACAAATCGAGAGTTAAACGACTTTAAGTCAATTGGAGAATGGATCCATCCAATCAACTTTCTCGATTTATTATTATAGATTTTTTATTTTTTATTTTTTTTACCTTCCAATCTTTACACCCACAAGCAACCTTGATGGAAATTGTTGTATGATTGAATATTACCTAAGTTGGTAATGATAAATTTCAACAGCACGAAATTAAGAAGCTCACATGCACCGTCGGTCAAATAATCTAGTAAAAAATGCCATTTAATTCGAGTCACAACTTCTATAATGTCACGAGTCATACGAAGCTGAAATATCCCCGGCATTCTGAGACACTCATCTTTGTAATTTGTTAGAACTCCTCGGTTATCCGATTAAAGAAACGAGATATACAGTTAGCCCAAAATATCAATATGGTAGAGGCATCAATTCCAGCACTTGGAACTCTTCCTGCATCATAAGTATTTAAAATTACAAAAAATAAAAAATTCAAATGTGTAAAAAATCCATGCATATTTTCCAGTACAAGGTTGTAATAGTAACACAAACCTTCAGTTCCTTCGCCTTTTTCCTCTGTGAAGCTTCCACTGTTTAAGTAAATGCTGAATCCCCTCTTTCAATTTGACTTTCCTGTTTTCGCTGTTGTTCCACAGCTCTGGTACTGGATACCTACCACTTGGGTTGTACTCATTCATCTCATCCAGAGCCTTGGTCACACTCTTGTACACTTCTTCGCCGAATTCAGTTTTCAGCTCGTTCAACTTTTCGTCATTTTCGTCCAGAACTTCCTGTCAATTGCACATAATGGAGGTGTAAACTAAGTATATGGATGGAATTCTTAGTGGATTGAAAATTAAAAAAACTACAATTAAGTTGGCGAATTCTTTCATTATTCATGCAGTACATTGACAGATTTAAACGAGTGTGAGAAAAAAACATCATTAGGAACAAGGAAATCATAGTTAAACACAACCAGGATTAGGTACAGATACCCATGAATATGCAAGTCAAGATTTGCATACAAGTCAACATCCAAAATGTTCAGATTATGAGAACTTTTTTATAGATGACAAGAATAATGTTTTTGAAAAATAAACACTAACTGGACAACTTTACTGCAATAGATGTTTGATGATATTCAACTTGAATTAAAAATAAACAGTTTGTTAGGCAGTACAAATTACTAATGTTCTAGAGAAAACTAGAAGCAGGAACTAGTTAAGAAAATTCTGATTTTTTTTTTTTTTGGGATATGGCTCTTGACATATTTTTAGAACTGAGTTAATTTGGCAACTAAGTGAATTTTCAGGAAGACATTTGAATACTCTGCCAAGAAACGAACATTCTTCGTTTTCCCTTAAGAGACGCAACTTAAGTTGACCTGAGTGCCTTCTGGAAAGTCGTAAATGGAAATACTCCATAATCTCGAGCCAGGAATCTGCTACTCAATTTGATTGAATTTAAATATAAATTACTGATGAAATTGAAATCAACACCAGTCGAAAATTTCGACAACAAATTCCACATTCATATCTGATCTAATGGGGAGAGAACCAAAATGTAGCTATCAATTAAAAGCTATACCCACAGCACTTCTGTAATTCACATCACCGAATCCCAAATACCATGAGTTTCATATGTTTTCGGAAATTCCTCATGTCTCTTCTTTGCTTTTCCCGAGATCCACTTTCATGAATCTTCAACGGGTTTCAAAGATGACTAATTAAGTTGAAAGAGAAACAAATGAAGAAAACGCAGTGTTTTTCTTTTAGCTCTGCATTTAGTACACACATGAAAGGGACTTTCATTTTCTGGAAGTATGAATATAACTTAATGAAATGTGGATAAATAATAGCTAAGTATCCCATCATATCTATCTGTGTGTCACTTCTACATTTGCATATAAAAAAAAAAACAGATACAAACTGAGTTTGACTTCATTACTCCAACTCATTCAACTTCCTAAGTATACTCGGACAAAATTTCACAGCCTTTGTTAATGCAGCATAGAGAAAACATGATTTTGTTATGTAGCCCACTAAAAAAACATACCTTATGAGCTCCTCCTTCCATAACCACCTTGTATGGATGCCAGCTTGGATCCCTAAGGTGATCTTCCCACAGTGAGCAGAGCTCCATCGCTTTTGTAATTTCATCTTCACCAGCATATTTTATTTTTGCAGCTTTGACAAATGGCTTGCCATCAAGTTCTCCCATCCTCTTGACACATATGTTGGCTCGACTATCCTTGAGAACCTGTGTCAGAAATAAATTTGACCATTAAATGCTTAATGAAATCGAGAACTATACTTCACTAACATATTATGTCAGTAAAAGCAACAAAAAATAGTTTGTCTTTTGGCTATTCCAACTATGCTGCAATAATAATTAATATAGATTATAATACAGAAACTATCCTTGAGGTTTGGCCTATTTACGAAAATCCACCTATCTTCGTAACTACAAGTACTCATTTGAGGTTTGTCGTTGTTGTAAGGACATCCAATCGATAAGCTCAATTTGCAAAGTAGAAACTAACTCAAAGGGAGCTTTACCCTTAAACTATTGTTTCTATGAATAGGTTAAACCTAAAAGGTATTTTTCAAAATTTACCCTCGGTATAATCAATCTGAGTTGAAGGACACTAAGTACACATCCCCGAAATTATAGAACAGAGAGACAACTTCCCACACCAGAAGTACTGTCATGCAAATTAGATTTGAGCCATTGATGTTGTAGCATGTACACCTGGCTTAGTTCTAACAAAGCATTGAAAGCTAGAAAATAGTCCTCCAGTAGGTGGTGATCTAACTTGCAGCAGTCAAACGTACTCACATAATGAAATACAATAAAAAAAAAACTAGAAATCATCTACTCGTATATTAAAGAGCCCTATGTGAACAACTATGATTTCCACCAGTAATTTAGTCACTGTTCATGAATCTTGTCAATAAATGGTCTTCAAATTAATCAATTCAGCTGAAGACATCAGCAGACATGGTAACATTAGCTTGGAGAAAAAAAATGAAGAACAAAACTGATTTGCAATATAAAGAAAATAATGAAAACCAAAATGGAGGGAAAAGGCTATTTTGCTTAGAATTATTAGTAGTAGTTAAAACTCACTTCTATCAGCTGCTTGCGAGCTTCCTGCAACTCATCATTGGTATTTCTCTCCTTGATAATAAGAGCTTGATTTAAAGATCCAACACCATCAAGTTCTTCTTCTTTCTCCTGAAGCTCCTCTTCGATTGACTCCAACTTCTTCTTCTCTTCCATATCTCCTTCATCAGCCATGTGTTTCATCACCTCAACAGCACCCCTCAGGCGTTCTACCTGCAACTCCAGTGCTTGCTTCTGGTCAAGGTTTGCTTCAAGTTCTATAATCTTGTTGTGAAAAAGTTCCTTTTGTCTCTGTAATAAAAATTAAATCAGATTCTAAGAAAGATACTAAGCATGAGATAAACTTATGCAAATCTCAAAGGATGAAATGGATAGATACCTTTTGTTCTTCTGCAAGTTTCAACATATTTTCATCAGCTTTCTTTTGCTTCAAGATTGCCATCTCATTCTGCAGAAAGTCACCCAGTCATTCTAATGTTTTGAAAATTTCTTTTCTGTAAAATAAGGAAAAGGGGCATGGACATTATAATTTCCACACACAAATAACCTAGAACCTTCTGTGAAAGATTAGGTTAGGAACCATTGTCTAGGTACTAGAAACCCTTCTTCCTATTAAAACCCAAACCCATAATCCAAAATTTACTTCTTCGCCATATCTTCAGAGAGTTTGCTATCCTGTTAAAACCCATATCCTGAATCCAATATGTATTTCCCTCGTCGTATTTTGAGAGAGTTTGCTATAATTTTATGAATAATTAAAGTAATACGTTAACAAAAGTAATACCATTTTCTTGTGTTCCTCCAGCTCCCTGTTCTCACTCTTGTTCAGTGCTTGACGTTGTTTAAGTTCCTTTTCCCTTGACTTCAACTCTTCTCTTCGAGCCTCCAACTCTGCTCTGCTTCTCTCGTGATCCTCATAAATTCTTTGGGAAAACTCAGATGCAACAGCCTGCATCTTCTCCATCTCTGTATACAATAATGTAAGGGATTAGTTGTCAACGTGTAGCTACTTTCATGTAGCTTAAACAGTATAAAAAAGCACGAGACTGAACTAACAGCTGAGTATATATAGTACCTTCATTGTATTTTTGAGTCATCTCTTCCTTTTGTTCTACAATATTTCGCATAAAAACTTCAGTCTTGCTAATGTTCTTCTTTATCTCCTCGCATTCTTTACTCTTTGTCTCCAATTCAATGGTCAAGTTGCACATTAGGGAGGTTTCTTTCCTTCTGTCTTCCTTTTGTATCTCAGACACGCTCTTAAGATCTCCATGCCTGCGAAGGTGTTTGCCGATAAGACCCATTCCCCTATATTCTTCTTCACGGGCAAGCCAAGCATACAGCTTATCTCCTTTATCTCGTCTCGCGTACCAATCTCTCTTCCCGTAGCGACTCGTTTCAAATGTTTTTTCAAAAGCCATAGCATTGTTGAATCCCTCCCAATCCTTCTTAAATTCAACAATTGCAAACCCCGAGTGACCCCGGAAGTCCCACAAAGGATGAACTTTTACCGGATTGTATCCTTGGTTAACCCATTCATCTTTTAGCTTCCGACAGCTGTCACCGGCATATTTTCCATTCTTTTTCTCAACGGGAAGGTTCGCAAGAACAGCCATCCAAGGCCAAACAATAGGCTCATCGTCACCTTTATGAGCAGATGGCCTCACAGCTGAACCACGTCGGGATTGAAACTCCTGTTTGAGATCTCTTCCACAAGATTTCACTAATGTCTCTTTGGCAATCACACCAACATCTGCTGATTCCCTGATTATTTCTCCAGGTTCAGTTTCGAAATCATCCGCTTTAACAGCTATATCACCTTTCCGTGTTGCTATTTGATGTGGTCCTGGTAATGTTTCCCACGGTTCAGTAACTATGACAGTAGTATGGATTGATGAATCATCTCCCTCTATAAGTTTCTTCACGTCTTGAATAGTTCTCTCGGTGTCTCTCTGCTGTAACTTGCTATCTCTGTCGGTTTCTGGAGATTTCCTCTTATCATCTTCATAATTATCTGAACGCTCAGGACTTCTCTTAGTTGATTGCGACAATTCCCCCTTCCTATGGCCATACCAATGCAAATACTTAATCAGTCCTAGATGTCTAGCTTTGTCGCTGAAGCTAGCACTTTTTGACTCTTTAGCAATTCTGGATGCATGTCGTTCTAGATCCAAGAGATCATAATCTCGTCTGCTGTGATCCCGGCAAAAAGGGCAGACAAGATATTTCCCAGAACCACTGATTTTGATTTTTCCATCCCTCAATTGTTTATAGTGCCTATACTCTAACTCTTCAATCTCTGAGTGCCTACTGTCTCTCCTTTCTCTCCTGTGAGACATCTTCAACCTGCATTCGTTAATACAAGAGAAAAATGAGAAGAAAAGGATCAAACAGAAAGTGAATTGGAAAACCTTGTACATAGTATTGAAAGGCATCAAATTTGCCAAACAAACTGGAATAATAAAAAGAGAATTATGAACTGTAGTTGTGTGTTCATGTTGGGTCCATGCTGCCACTCCCGCAGATAATAACTCCCAAAAATATAAATGCAAAATTATTATCTTAGAAAGTAGAAACACAGTCAAATAGAATCACAGTAGTCTTTAGATTAACTGCTCTAAAATCCGCACAAGACTGTAGAAATGAACATTAAAAACTTGTCCGGTTCAATGAATTTAATAAAGCAAATAGAAGAAAACAAAGAGACATATATTATCTGTTGTTTGTCGATTGCTAGAAAAAAAAATCAAAACAAAATCTAGCTAGTTCTGAAAAACTTTTTTTCCTCAGAAAAATACGAGGGTAAGAGAGAAAACAATCGAGGAACGGGTCATTTCTCTAAACCTTCCTCCAATCATCTCGTTCACTAATCCATGTCTCGGTTTGGCTTCCTATAAACAACCAAACGAACGAATTTCTTCAACTTTTAGTTTCTTTATCATATCATTCCTCTTTCCTATCAAAATCTCTGAACCAAACAGAGACCAAAAATTTTAGTCATCTTTGCATGGCTGTGAGGGAGCACATAAAAAAATTAATTATTTTCTTTAGGACTAAAATCAGCCCAAGCATATATGCACAAAAACTGGTTACCTTCAAATCAACAAATGATTCATCATTAGAAACAAAACTCTCTAAAATAATTAAAGCACTATTACACTTAGCGAAACCCTATGTCTAAACACCATGTGAGCACACCAAATAAAAAAAGTAAGATCAACATTTCCGCAACTCGTGAAGGCGGAGGGTTTGCTGATCTTACCTCAGAACGGCAAAAAAAAAACCAATTGTTCTAGGGTTCTAAAATTTTCAAACAAGGTTTTTCTAAATTACTTAAATCATGGAAATAATTGTAGATATATTGATGGAAATCGCAGAAAATAAAACGAAAATAGTTAAATACCTAAACCTCTTAACGATGGCAGCGACGGAGACGAACGAGGTGAATGCTAGGGTTTGGCAGCAGAGAAAATCGCAGAAGAGTAGATTACAGAGGTTTTTTGCCGGAAAAAGCAAATAAAAGAGGAGAGAGAGTTTTTAGGCTGTGAAACGCGCCAAATGTGTTTATATAAGAATGAAGTTCATAATTGCTTAATGTGTGACATTTATCAAAAAAAAAAATTGCTTAATGGTGTGACTAGTAGTTAGATTAGTCATTAGAGGCTTAATTTTGAAATAATAAGTTAAAGGGGCGTGCTAAATTCTATACTATTTCGTAATACAAGACGAATAGGGTTTTTTTTTTTTTTTTTTTTTTTGGTGTTAGGAGGGTTTTAGGGTGAGAAAGTTTTTTTAGTTGTGTGATGATTCGATAATTTCCGTGCGTGATTTAGCATTTCAGTTAGTGAAATATATAATTAGGCCTCGTTTGCTTACCCGGATTATATTGGATTAGGTGAGATTGGATTAATATCCCACTGATTAATTAATTATTTAATCCGTAAGATGTTTAATTCGTTAGATTAAATCTCGTATTAAATTTGTTAAATTTTGGTATTAATTATGAATTGTCTAAAAGATCTTTTAATTAACAAAATTAAGATAATGTTTGAAGGATAAAATTGTATTTTCCTCTTTTAATCACCCTCTACTAAATTAATCGCAAGGGAGGGTACTACTAATTTAACCAAATAATAGCACTTAATTGCAGGCCTTAAGTATTATAGCGGGCTAGACTAGATACAAATTTCATAACCAAACATTTTACTGATCTACTATTTAGTTAATAGAGCTTAATAGCATTAAGCAAACGAGGCCTAAGATAAGAAATTAATTAGAAATGCGGTACTTTATTAAGTGCTTTCACGGGCCCAAGTAAGCTTATGTGGCTCAAGAGAAAGTAAAGCCCAATTTAGTTTCTTCGGGCTTAGATTTGGGTCCACCTAGTTAACGCAAGAGTAAATAATAATATATTACTTTTTTTCTTTTTTTTAAGAAGAAATAATTTATTACTTATTACTATATTATTGAAAAGGGCAATTAATATATTATTTATATTCTAAAGTGAAAAATAATTTGGTAGAAACAAAATTACTTTTACGAGACAAATGGTTTGGTTATGTTTTTTTAACAAATTGATTTTGATTCGCAAAATAACAATTAAATAATTAACAAATTGATTCAAATTAACGAGTCCTCATATGGTCCAACTACCCACCTACTGAACGAAAAATATTTTTAACATTACTCCAAAATGTAGAATCTAAAAACTATTACCATAAATTCATAATATAATATACCAAAATCCGAATTCCAGATCCCTTAAAACATATAATGTAAATGACGATCAACGTTCAAGATAAAGGCAAAATACGAAAAAATCCCTCATGTGTGACTACTTTTAACCACATTCTACTATGTATTATCTTACATGTTTACTTTTATCGTGTCAAATTTACTTATTGAAGGAATGATTTTTTCGTGAGATAATACATAGTTGATGGAGTGATTTAATTATACAAATAAAAGGTGTTTTTCCATAATTTAAATTTAGCTCAAGCGGCTGCTGTAATTTACTCAAATATATATTAATATAAAATTGGAAAATTGCAGTTGTCACCCCTCAAATCTGCACAAATTTCATATTTGGTCATCTATGCTCACAAAAAATACATTTGGTCCCTCGAGTTTCGATAATTTAACATTTATGGTTATTTCCATCGATCAATTTCCCGCTAGTCCGTCAGTTAAGGCGGTGATCTGTAAAGGCTTGATTACGTTAGTACTAGACCTGGCCACGGTTCGGTTCGGTTCCGGTTCCGGTTCCAAACCGCCGGTTCCGGTTCCGATTTTGGAGGAACCGGAACCGAACCGAAAAAATCCGGTTCCTTGCGGTTCGGTTCCTAACCGGTTCCGGTTCGGTTCCGGTTCGGTTCCCGGTTAGAACCGTAGAACCGTTCGGTTCTTAATAATATTTTTTTTTATTTTATGTATATATATATATATATATATATATATATATATATATATATATATATATATATAACTTAAAAAAAACTTAAAAAAAAAACTTTTAAAAATAGTTTTTTTTAAAGTGTTTATATTTAAAAATAATAATTTTTTTTTAAATACGTAATTTTTTTTTCTTAATACTTAAATATATATATATATATATATATATATATATAGAGAGAGAGAGAGAGATACATACAGATAGATAGATATATATATATATATATATATATATATATATATATATATATATATATATATATATATACAGAGAGAGAGATATTATATATATAGATATAAATATATATACACACACATACATATAGAGAGAGAGAGAGAAAATTTATATTTTTTTTTTTTTTTTTTTATAAACCGGTTCAAACGGTTAGAACCGCGGTTCTAACCGTCGGTTCCCGGTTCCAAAAATGAGGAACCGGAACCGAACCGATTTTTTCGGTTCCGGTTCCGGTTCCGGTCAAACCGGTTCCGGTTCGGTTCTAAAACCGTTGACCCCGGTTCGGTTCCGGTTCCGGTTTCGGTTCTAACCGAACCGGTGGTCAGGTCTACGTTAGTACTAACGAAAAATGAACAAATAGAACTAAAAATATTGAATTTTTTAAACATAAGGGGTCAAATGTGATTTTTATGAAAATAAGGGACCAGAAAGAAATTAGTGGAACAGGCCTCCCTAGTAGACGAAAAGAAGTTAAAAGAAAGTAGACAGTACACCGGCTGACCGTTTCAAAATGAAAGTTCTGCACTCCTCTCGTGACTTGTGTCCCACCTCTCTCTCTTTCTCTCTCATCACTTTCTCTCTCCTCTGTATCTTCTTCACCATCACGACATCAGAGCCCAACTACAAGCTGACATTTGTTTATACAAATCCACACTCTTAATTTTATAGTGCTAGGTCAATAGAATCACGCTCTTATTATTCATATAAAATAATAAAAAGTTAACTTTTGATTTCTTGATCTCCTCAACCAAACCAAATTAATACTCTTTTTTTTTTTGTTGTTAAGTTTATGTCTTTGACTCTTCGATTCCTCTGCCTCATGGCGCAGCCCACCTGAAAAAAAAGATTAAGCGATTTTTTTCCCTCTTTATTGTTATTATCGACGGCGACGCAGAGAAAAAAAAAAATATATATGAAGTGCTTCCATTTCACCAGCGGCGGGGAGCGGCGCTCCGGCGGAGACGAGGACGACGACGGCGGCGGCGGCGGCGAGCTGGACTGCTCCGCGTCGCGGAAGGTGTCGTGGGCGCGTTCCCTGAGCGTGGCGTCCACCAACCTGGACTCGCGCCGCTCCGAGTTCGACACCGACTCGCGCCGTGACTGGGCCGACTCGTCCGAGTTGTTCCAGGACTTTCTGACTCAGGGCCGCGCCAATGATCTGCGCGTGTTCACCTTCTCCGAGCTGAAGTCGGCCACCCGTGGGTTCAGCCGCAGCCTCGTGATCGGCGAAGGCGGGTTCGGATGCGTTTACCAGGGCCGGGTCAAGCTCGCCGATTGCGGGTCGGGTTTTGGGTCCGAGGTGGACGTCGCTATCAAGCAGTTGAATCGGAACGGATTCCAGGCACACCCTCCTACTTTATGTTTTTAAATTACATTTTTCTTGATTTATTACAGCAATTAAACTGAGAATCAACTCTGCTTTAAATTATTTTATTTTTTAATTTTTACTGCATTCTAGTAATCAGGGGCACAAGGAATGGATAAATGAAGTGAATTTTCTAGGTGTGGTGAAACACCCGAATCTCGTGAAGCTCGTCGGATACTGCGCAGATGACGACGAGAGAGGGATTCAGCGGCTTCTCGTGTACGAGCTCATGTGTAATAAAAGCTTGGAGGACCATTTATTGACCCGCTCCGCTTCTCCTCTGCCGTGGATCGTTAGGTTAAACATCGCACGTGATGCAGCTCGTGGATTGGCCTACCTTCACGAAGAAATGGAATTTCAGGTAAACGAAACTCGAATGCAGTTGTTAGCTGCCATTGCTCGTAAGGTCTCGGTTTAATGTTTACGCATTCGTTTTTATTTTCAAGAAAATGATGAATGCATATATATATGTATGGTGAATTGGGATGATGGAATTTGACCATTGACTTATCGAGCTCTTTCTTTCTAATTAATCGAATGTACTATATGTTTATTTATTGATCGATAATTAATTTTAGTTTGTATTCGTTGAAGATGGATTTCGCGTGGATCCATCACTACTTAACCGTTGATTGAGATAGTTCGTGTAGTAAATCGTATGACTCGTCTCTATTTTGAGCCTATTTGTCGGCTTCTTGATATGCCGTTTTAAATATATTCAGTTGATATTTAGAGACTTCAAGACTTCAAATATTCTGTTAGACGAAGACTTCAACGCAAAACTCTCGGATTTCGGATTGGCGAGGCAGGGTCCAGCGGCTGGATTAGGCCACGTTTCCACATCGGTATAATTAAATCCCGTTTCAAATATATATATCAAATATGTCCTTTTATTTCATTTTTCTTATTCGAATTTTATTTTCAGGTTGTTGGTACAGTAGGTTATGCAGCTCCAGAGTACGTCCACACGGGCAGGCTAACCGCCAAAAGTGACGTGTGGAGTTTCGGAGTGGTGCTCTACGAACTTATTACGGGGAGACGGGTGCTCGAGCGGAACTTGCCACGTGGCGAGCAGAAGCTTCTAGAATGGGTCCGGCCTTACGTCTCGGATTCAAGAAAGTTCCACATGATTCTTGACCAGCGCCTTCTAGAAGGTCATAACTGCATGAAGTCGGCTCAGAAACTAGCTTCCCTTGCCAACAAATGCCTGATGAAAAACCCCAAATCGCGCCCCAAAATGAGCGAGGTGATCGAGATGCTCGGTGGCATCATAGACGACTGCGGGCCCGTAGAAGCTGACGCGGCTGAAGCTGACGTGGCGGTGGAACCGATCGAGAGGAGTCATCACCGGAGAAAGGGTTTTGATTTCGTGGAATTAGTCAGGAGGAATAGATCGATTGGGAAGTTGGATTGGAGAAACTGGACCCCCGGTCTGGTCAGGACATGATATCACTTACGGAGCCAGCATAGGGTTGGGGGCCGTGGCCTCCTCCTATTACTTCTCCAGAACTTGTTATTTTTGTAATAGGGGATTTGTTATTTTTTGAGGTAGTGTAGTATTGCCGGCCCCCTTTAAAGAAAAACAACTGTGTATATTTGGGTCCCGCGAATACAAAATTCTGGCTCTGCCACTGAAATAGTCTCTTACATTCGTAATCGTGGTCACCCATATTGATAATTGTTGCCGGGGTACAATTTTATAAAATAAATTAAAATATGAAACGTTTGGAAATATTCGAATTGTAGTGAGTGACACTTAATTCTAAGATATTGCCAATTTGAACGCGTGATCTAATTAGGGGTGTGAACGAGCGGAGTTAAATCGATCTTGCCTGTGATCTAATTAGGGGTGCGAACGAGCGGAGTTAAATCGATCTTGCCTGTTTTCGCAGGCTCGAGTTCGAGCTCGTCGAGTTTTTTTGGCTCGAGATCGAGTCCGTTTTGTCAAGGTCGAGCCCAAGCTCATTTAGATTTTTATTTTTATTTTTATATGTTCTCTTTATATTATTATACATTATTTAAATAAAAAATAACATATATATATATATATATATATATATATATATATATATATATATATATATATATATATATATATATATATATATATATATATATATATATATATATATATATATATATATATATATATATATATATATATATATATATATATATATATATATATATATAAAAGCTCGTGAGCTCACGAACTACTAAAAAAAAATTAAAGCTCGACTCGTCAGAAAATTCGAGCTCAAAAAACTCATGCTCAAGTTCGTGTTTTTTTCGAGTCTGGCATATCGAGCTCACGAGTCGGCTCAGCTCGTTTACCGTAGATGTAATAATGTACTACAAAGCAAGTTGCAAACTCGTACTACTTACTATACGGGGGCGGCCTCATGCCTCGCGCTCGTGCCAAAGTTGCAGCCACTCACGCTTTAGATAGTTTTCACTTGATTCTTACAATTACAAATACAAAAATAAAAAAATTAATTAATTAAAAAAATAATAAATAATAAATAACTAAAAGAATGAAGATAAGACACTTGTGGAGAGACCGTGTGCCAGAAACAAGCTAAATAAATTCTCTTCACAAATTATTTCCTTCACCAATTTCATATATATATATATTATCTCTTTATTTCCTTCCCAAATATTATATTGCATAATTTAAGCACACAGTGAGTGTAACTACCTCAACAATGGCTTCTTTAAACTTGTTCGTTGCCCCGATTAATGTCACTCCTCAGAGGAGAGTGCTAAGAACCGCCGCCACCGCAGCGAAAAGCTCCGGCGGAGGCGGAGAGGAGAAGGGTTTGTTGGACTTTATCCTCGGTGGGTTGGCTAAGGAAGAGCAGATCTACGAGACTAATCCAATCCTGAAGAAGGTCGAGGGGAAAACTACTAGCGGTGGCGGCACCACCGGTAATGGCCGGAAGGGTACGGTGGCTGTGGCGGCGCCTAAGAAGAAGGAGGGCGGCGGTTTCGGAGGATTTGGCGGGCTTGGAGACCTCTTTGCCAAGAAATGATGGGGGCTAGCTAGCCTTTTAATATTTATTTAATAAATTGTTCCCAACACAAAAAAGATTATTATGTAATTTAATTATGTTTTTTTTTTTGTTCATTATTGTGGGCATTTTGGAAGTTTTTTTTTATGTAATTTGGAGCTTAATTTAATTGAATATATTTGCTTTTACCATATGTATTTTGGATTTGTTTTTACACAATTGATTTAATGTTAAATTATATTGGAGTTATTAATATTAAATGATATATTTCTCTAACAGTTTAAAATTTTGGTTGATGTGGTCATTCAATATGATATCAAAGCTAGACCAAATGAAATGTTTTGAGTTCGAATCATTTTTAGTTGGGGCTAAGACTTTTTGGGTATGTAATATGTATGGTCATATTAAACATATGTTGGGGTGTGCTTTGGAGTGGAAACCGAATAGATCAGATTCCAATTTGATTTTTTAAACGAAAAACTAATTCCAATTCAGCTAATAAAGCAAATCGAAAAATTTGAAATTTCGGAAACTGGAACAAAAATATTTATTCCAACATTGAAAATTGTCAGTTCATTTTTGAAGAAATCCAAAAATTCAAAATTTAGTCAACTATAAAACGAAATATATAATTATAAGTGTTCTTTCTTGAAAAACATTGTATATTTTTAGAAATAGGTTTCAATCCAATATCTAGTACAATTTTGCTACAAAAGATATAAGAACTCGGAACCTCCAAAATACGGAGTGAAAAGTGCTGTTCCAAATTCAAAAATTTGCGGATTCAAATCTGTGGGAATTCGAACATTTCGTTCCGATTTCACCCTGCAAGGGCTAACATGTTACATTTTGATTCGAATCTTGTCGGACTTGAGTTTATCGATCAAGAATATATATATATATATATATATATATATATATATATATATATATATATATATATATATATATATATATATATATATATGTAAATAAAAAAAAAAAAAATATATAAATCTCTCGCGCGGGGGGGGGCGGGGGGGGGGGGTGTGTGTATGTATATATATATATGTATGTGTGTATGTGTGTGTGTGTGTGTGTGTGTGTGTGTGTGTGTGTGTGTGTGTGTGTGTGTGTGTGTGTGTGTGTGTGTGTGTGTGAGTGCGTGTGTGCGTGTATATATATATATATATATATATACACACACACACACACACACACACACACATATATTTTGATTCGAATCTTGTCGGACTTGAGTTTATCGATCAAGAATATATATATATATATATATATATATATATATATATATATATATATATATATATATATATATATATATATATATATATGTTAAAAATATAAAAAAATTATGCATGACAATTGACATCAATTGAATTAGGTTTTAGAAATGAATAATTTTTAAGAAGGTGAAGGGATTTCCAAAAATGTTAAAAAATAATAATCCTTGTTTCTTTGGAATGCAGATCCGTACAATACCAGAGGTTGTCTTATTGGGCTAGGCCCATTAATCTTAACATTTGGCCCAAACCATGAGACTGGATCAGTAATGTGGGCCCACTAAGGGTTGCAGTGTGAGTTATCCCAAATTGGAGCTGGCACCCGGAATTCAATTTCTGTTGAAAGTGTAATGAAACTAAGGGTAAATTACAGTTAACCCCCTCTAGTTTGAATTTTATGCACATAAACCCCCTGTACTTTTAATATAGCACGTAACCCCCTTGTATTTTAATAAAGGGTTAATATGCTGGAGGTCCCTCAAACGAAACGTTATTAGATATGGAATACGAGTCCAATATTTTTTTGGTAACTAAATCCCTCAGTATAAAAAATACATGATATAAGGGTTTTTTATTTTAAATATCCCAATATTACCCTTACTATTAACAGAACGTTTGTGTGACGTTTTAAAAAGTTACATCTTTTTAATAAATCACATTCCTTATAATTAGGGATCACGTATCAATCACGTCTATCGTGATTGTAACTGTATCTTAATATAATCTCATTAATATATCTCACGTAAGTGAAGAAGATCCCATAGATAACAATATACAGTGTTAATCTGCAAAGCATTGAGCGTAGTATTTTCAGTTTCATCCTCAAGAATGTATTGTTTTCCATCATCGCATAACAGTGGTTCTTCGTGCGTTGTTGGTTCGATGCCTTTCCGATTTTTTTTTTTTTTTGTTTTGAAAAGGTGCTTATGCTGCTACACCTGCTGAGTTTGATAATAGCATGGAGAATTTTCGAAAAATAGTGGCCCGAGAGTGAATAATTTCTTGCTAGATCCGCCATACGAAAATTGGGCTTCTTTCCGTTTTGTTGGCCAGGGATTTGGTGAGATGACTTCCAATTTAACAGAGTCTTGGTATTCGCAGATTAGCAAATATCGTGGACTACCTATTACGGAGATGATAAATGCCATTAGGAGTCTACTGATGTTGCAGATGTTCTTGAGGTACGACACTACTGTGCCTTGACACATTGAACTTTGTCCTTTGGATGAAGAACAATTTGGTGTATTGGTACAAGAAAGTAGCACATGGTTACCAAGGAAAGCATCTGACTCGGGGTATGAGGTGTGAGTGAACCTGTTGCTGTGATTGACTTATGGAACATATCATGCTCATGCCGAATGTGGAAAATTTCGGGCTTCCCGTGACTCGATGTGTAGTCGTTGCAACCAGATTAGAACTCACAACAAGAAGACATGCACAAGAGCTATTTAGTAGTTTTGATTTGGAGTATTTTTAGCCTTTTGAATTTGAGTGTAAGTTAAACAATAGTGTTCTTTGGTTTTTTTTTCCTGCATTTATGTTTGGGTAGTACTATTTTATTTCTGCATTGTGGTTTATTTTGCGATGTATGTTTTGTTTAAGTTTTCCGGATTCACTTGTTTTACATAAGTTTTGTTTTGTTTTTCCTTTTAGGAATTACATATAAGCAATTACATAATTGCAAATTTTCAATAAACTTGTTATTGTTTCTCTACGCTATATGAGTTTGTGTGTATTTCATATATTTTTATGTTTTTTAAATATAAAATTACTGGAGTGTTTAATCATTATGGAATCATATTCTATTAAGTATTCTGAAATTAATGTCCAGAACTGTATTCCTACAGGGATGGTGCACTTTAAATTGTGTAAATACAAAGTATCTATAGTCATCTATAGGATACTGTTGATGAATACAGTATATCATAATATATTTGTAGATCAACAAAGATATATTGCACACCAGGCTTGTTTACGTACTTTGACATGATCTTCCACCACTGTATTCTTCCAGGATTGGTGCACTTTTATCACCAACTGCGTAAATACAAAGTATCTACAGTAATTTGTAGGATACCGTAGATGAATTCATTATGTCATAGTAAAACTATGGTTCAAAATTTGCGATATAGAATATCAGTCTGTGTACAACATTTCTTAGTTGGTACATTTATTTCTTGTAAAACAGTGAATGAAACCAAATGTTGGACAATAGCTATGTTGAACTATGACCAAAGATCCTAATCCAAAATAAAACCAATAATATATAAATAAGACATAGTGTCAACAACGACGAACGTGTTTCGAATATTTTACCCAACAAACTAGAGTTAATAACCATAATTATGTTTACATGCCAACAATTTAAATTTTATTTGCGCAAACGAAGTCGCGTACACGAGACAAAACAAAATAATACAACTACATTGCTCAAATGATCTTGTAATTCAAAAGATGCTATACAATGTTCTCTGTCTATAGGTCAAAAAAAACTCTACGCACCCATTTTCCGTCCCAGTAACGGAGGCATTCGGGATTTTGTGATTTGCGAATGGTAATACGAGGCTGAAAATGGGGTTCTCTTCAGGCACTCTAGGTGAGCATTATTCAGTCGCACTTCTTCGAAGAAAGTCACAGTAGACGTCAAGTTAGACATGAATTGAGATATGTAACCACCTTTATTTATCGTTCTTTGAGCAACATTCATGGCCTCTCTGTAAATATAAAAAATCATCTTTATTTGTCAACAAAGATAAATGTTTGGGGAAGATGAAAAAGTAAATATACCCTGTAATTGTAGAATCAATAGTTTTTTATTAAGAAATTCGAATATTCGTAATTGGCAGAAAACCATAGAATATCACAGTACCCATAGTATACCACAGTACTACATAAATTATACATACAGTTAGACATACAAAACTCATTAGCAATAAACTAACAAATAAACAATATAGGCCAGCCTCTCAATTACACAGAGAATCATATAATAGCAACTGTTTCGTAGGTCAGTAACATAGGTCAGCAAAAAAGAACGAATCGCACAACAATATAACTATAAGTAAATTTATACAATTGTCATTTCATAGACTGCTATAGAAATACACTATCAATTCATAGACTACCATAGAAACTAGGGTTGACAACAAAATATCCAATCATAAACTCCCATAAAAATACAACATCAATTCATTTTTACAAATGCATATAGAGCTCACATAGACAATTCATTAACAATAAACTTACGAATAAGCAAGATAGGCCAGCCTATCAATAACATAGACAATCATATAATTGCAAATGTTTAATAAGTCATCAACATAACTACCAGAAAATTTCTACAATTGTCATTTTATAGACTACTGTAAAAATTCATTATCAGTTCATAGACTACCATAGAAATATAATTGTGTTTTTACAGACTATCATAGACATATACAGTCTGTATACACCAACATTGCAGAATCCAGACTTCGATTGCCAAATACGAATTACAAATTCAAAGCACAAAAATATTTACGCGCCTAAACAATTTTTTTCGTGTGTGGAATTCATAGTTTACCCAAAGATTTAGACAACAACAAACAACGAAATATACATGTTTTGAATCGTACCTGCGTCTAGTGATTTTATGTCCTGCTGCCCTTTCATCTGCATCTCCCCCTGCGTATTCGATTTTGTAAAAACCCTAATTTAAAAAAAAAAAAAAACTAAAATCAAACAAAATCAAAACTTACTTGATTTGTTTCTTGGTGTACCATTCGTAGACGTTAATGGCGCCAATAATTTGATTTTTATGATGCTATGAGGGTGGTCGCTGTCGATTTGCAGTAGAGAACGAGAGAAAAGATACCCTAGTCTGGGAGAGAGGGGGGCGGGTGGGATGGATTATGATACGGTTAATGTGGGATTTGGAAAAATAGAATCTTAGAGATTTAATGGCGAGATTAGTGGGATTTAATTTTCTTTTCCCAAACTTAAAAAATAAACGGCGTTTATTTTACCGTAAGGGTAATATAGACACAATTTCTCAAAAGGATGTGAGGCTAATGTTTTTATAGGCTTGGGTGTGTCATCTAATAAGTTTTTCCACTAGGGATGCATATCTTAAAGCCCCTTTAATAAAAGCACATAACCTCTCGTAATTAAAACAAAATTATCTTTCTAATGTGCTTGATTATTTATCAAGTGGAATAACATAGGGGGATTATGTGCTTATATTGAAAATATAAGGGGTCATATTCTGATATTAGAAATACAAAGGGGTCATGTGCACAGAACTCAAACCACAGGGGATTTAAGTGTAACACTTACCTCAAAACTAATTTCAATTTTGTTCCAACATAATTCTTAGAAATCTAGAAATTTAAATTTTGAATATTTTTTTTTTTGAAAATTTGGATGATTTATTATAAACGTTTCAAATTTGAATAAAATTAAAATGAAAAAAAGAAAAGAAAAGAAAAAAGATCTAAGTTGATTTTTTCCCCTTGTACGAATCAATAAATGAACCCAATCTTGCGTTCTTCAACTTTATTTCAAATCATTGGTTCAAACTTAAAACTGTTAATTTAACTTTTATTCAAAAATGTCATTGTACAGTACCACGAGAGTGTTGTCGTTTTACAAACAAGTCTCGAATGGAGCATTAAAAATCCCATTTTTGGACCCAAACTAATATCGAAAAAGCCAAGCAACAAGTGAGGAAAATGGGAGGTACAAAATGACATGCGCAAACATACGTGAAATTAGATGCTGCTGCATTTGGTTATTTACATTCGGTGAATTTCAATCGAAGATCTATAGATTATACATAATCACACGCGGATGTTTATTTGTGATTATTGAGTGGCTATTTAATCAGATCTACAGTTGAAGTCCACATAATATAAATAACCAGATATATCATCTAACTTCCCATACATATTGAATATTTATAATAACATTCAAAATTTACTCACATGGTAACTATTTAAAAAAAATAAAAAATTTGCATATAAAATCTTAATAACTATTTGGGTAAATTCTACTTTCCCGTCGTACTTTGACTACATATCATTTTACGCCCTTCTACTCTCGATTGCATCGATTTGTCCCCATGTACTTGAAAAATTGTCTCAATGTGGCTCTCGACGTTAGTTTTCAGACCTTTGACCTTAACACCGTTTGATCGAAGGTCTGGAAATTACAAAAAAACCACTTCTCCCAATTTAAAAAAAAAAAAATAATAAATAAAAAAAAAAAATTACGGATGCCGTCGTGGATTATGCTTTCTCTTTGTCTTGATTTTTTTTCTTTGTTTTTTGAATAATTATTTAAAATGGGAAGGGTGGCGTTTTTGTGATTTCATAGTTTAGACCAAACGGTGTTAAATGTCAAATGTCTGACAACTAACAGCGATGACCACATTGAAAAGTGCATGAGGCAAATAGATACAATCAAGAGTAGAAGGGGATAAAGTGATACCAAACCAAAATATGAGGGAAAAGTAGAATTTGCCCTAACTATTTATTAAAATTGCCATCTTTGTCCATGACATGATCCCATACTATTAAATAAAGATAAGATTCTTGGAAGAAAGTATGGGATAATTGAGAAAAAAAAGATAGCCACAAGCAACCCCACTAGCAATATCTACCCTTGACCTTTCTTGATTCATCTATATGTATATATCATGTATCTATCCTTCCATCCACTTTCCTTACCATTGTTATTTTCCTTTCTTTCATGTCAATGTCACTGCTTAAAAAATATATACCACTTTGCTTCAAAAAAGGGTCACATGAGCTATCAAATTAAGACAACTTTTCTTTAAAAAGAATAAAAAAAGAAAAGGAAAAACAACCCAAGAAAGCTACAATTGATCATGTGGGAATCATCATCTTACATTCTTAAATTTAAATTTGTTACAAGAAAGATGATTGTGAAGTATGAACATCTATATATACTTAATTAATAGTGATTAAGAAATAAAAAAGAAAAGGAAAAGATCACATATTAGATCTTTGTGGAATAAGGTGTAGGAGAAGAAGCATAAGGCCTTAGATAAGCACCGGCATTCGCGATTTTATTGCCCGAATCGCCAACACTTCGTCTACGTTGCCTAGATCCATTGTGGGACCCGCTTCGATTGCTGTCCAAATTACTAAAATCTTGAAGTTGCTCGATTTCCTTAACTACTTCCTCCATTTTCGGCCTTAGCCTAGGCTCTAACGATATGCATTTCAGAGCAAGTGCAGCAACTTTTTGAGCCACGTCTATTGTGTATTGGCCTTCGAGTCGATTGTCCATAACTCGATAGACTTTTCGTTTGTTGGCTAAGTAGGGCTTTGACCAGTCAACGAGCTTGTGCTCGCCCGTTGGTCTGTTCTTGTCTATTGCTCTTCTGCCGGACATCAATTCTAGGAGCACAACTCCATAGCTATACACGTCGCTCTTTGTCGTCAAATGGCCTAATGAATATTCGATGCGTATTAGAGTCGATGAAGATATAATATAGTAACAATTTTACTACGAAAAGAGGACTAAGTTTAGATACGCAAATATATGAAGATTGAAGGAATGTGATAAATGTCTCTACTTCAAACGTGATTTTCACTATTTTCGTGTCTGAATTAGGAAAAGTTTAAAAAGCACAAACTTTGTAGTTCTTTAAGTTGGCTTTCTTAGTCTGAGTTGAATCACCAAAATTGGATGTCGGGTGATAAAAATATGCATGAATCATCTAACTCAAAGGACTACGGTTTCCCGTGTTTTGAATTTTGCAAAAATCATACTAGAAAAGGGTCAAAATCACATCGGAAGTCAAAACAATATCAGTAAAATAGAAACGACATTTAACATTTCGAATACGATTCTTGCCGAAAGATATAAAGTCGAAACTCTTACCAGTAGCTAGATACTCCGGAGCTGCGTATCCGTGGGTACCCATGACCCTCGTCGAAACGTGGCTTTTATCACCCGTGGGCCCATCTTTAGCCAATCCAAAATCAGACAATTTTGCATTGTAGTTCTGCCAAATCATGAGTTTTAGGTAAGATTATTGCACACATGCCTGAGTACTCAATGTACTCACGAGTTACCACAGTAATAATCACGATTTTTTACCGAGTCGAGTAAAATGTTGGAAGTTTTGAAGTCTCGATAAATGACCCCGGATTCATCGCTATGAAGAAACGCAAGCCCCTTTGCAGCTCCGAGAGCTACCTTAAGACGAAGACCCCAAGAAAGCGGCTGGAAATACGAACCCCCTGATTTTTTTTTTCAATATACATAATTAGTTATTTTACGAACTTTTCCGTTTACATCGTAGTATAATAAACAAAGATTACGGACTCACTTCGAAATAAATGGTTCTCTAAGCTACCGCGAGGCATAAATTCGTACACCAAGAGCCTATAATCATCCTCCAAGCAGTAGCCGATAAGTTTCACAAGATTCGGATGCGAAAACTGCCCCAAATAGTTCACTTCCGCCTATATATTCATACAATACCACAAAATCGTATTATATAGTTTAAAGACTCAATAGCAAATTTAATCGAAAATCAAGAAACGAAATACGATGAACTTACCAACCATTCCCGATGGCCTTGAAAGCTTTCTTGATGGAGTTTCTTGACAGCAACAATCATGCCCGTGCCTGGTTTTGCGGCAATGAACGAATTCTCGTCGACCCATCCTTTAAATACGGATCCGAATCCGCCACCGCCGAGCACGCTGTCGGGTCGGAAATTCCGGGTGGCGTTTTTCAGATCGGAAAAGGTGAAGTCTTTCAAATTAGATGACTGCAAGATTTCACCCTCGGTTCGAAGAGTCGATGAGACCTTGCTACTTATAACATAGCTGTTTTCATTCCCATTTGAGCTAGCATATTGTGAATTTAAACCTAGATTTGATCAGTTTAATTAATTAGTTAATTAGCCCATAAATTCCACACACACACGTGTATGTGTGCCTGTGTGTGAGAATTGATGAAGATGAACAGGGAATAAGGTAATAACATAGTAATTATTACCAGTGGGAGGTGGGGTTTGAGATTTGATTCTACCACTGAAACAAATCCCCATGGCAAGAAATCAATATACAAGAACCCTAAATTAAGATTATTATACTGGTCTCAGCAAATTCTGCAGATAGGAGAGAATAGTAATTAAAAAACAACTAAATATCAAAAAAGAAAGAAAAAAAGGTTGCGTTTTTAGCAAGCATACAGAGAGAGAGAGAGAGAGAGAGAGAGAGAGAGAGAGAGAGAGAGAGAGAGAGAGAGAGAGAGTCACCTCTTGCACCTTGAAAATTAACACTAAAGAACAGTAATCATATATCAGCAAGAAACTGGAAAAGCAGCGATTGGGCTCTGTTTTCTTTGTTACTCCACCTTCATATCTGTGTGTGTGTGTGTGTGTGTGAGAGAGAGAGAGAGAGAGAGAGAGAGAGAGAGAGAGAGAGAGAGAGAGAGGATTGACTGGAATGAAGACTGAAGAAGGGTGTGCGTTAAGGAAGATGGAGGGAGAGGAGGATATTAATAAATGGCGGGCGGTGACAATTGATTGGTCCCTCGTCGACGCTACACACAGACACACACATGTGTGTCTGTGTGTGTCTGTGATTCGGCAGTCAGCATTGACTAGTTGTGCAGTTGTTGCGTTGACTCTTGGAATGGGGTATTCGTAGTCGTAGATTATTACACATAGGTATGCAATGGTCCTCTTGATTCTCGAAGGGGCTTTTAGCTTAATCTAATCTGTAATTTGTTTAGCTGTTTAATTTGGTTGTTTATTACATTTTGATCTTTAATATTGCTTTTATTGATTTTTTCCTTTAATTTTGTTTATTCATGATATTAGTTAGGGTAAATTACAAAAACACCCTTATACTTATGCTAAATTATAAAAAGCACCCCCACCTATAAGTAATTACCAAACCACCCGACATTTGTTTTCGTCTTACACTGACACCCTTATAGTGTGGTTTTTTTACGAAATCTTTTTGATTTCAGATATTCCCTGAAAAATAACAATTCTACCCCCCTAAGAATAACTCTGAAAGAAAATACTGGTGACATTGGCATACCTTATAGCATACATATGCAATTTTGTAAACATATGTGCATGATTACCTTCATTATGTTATACGTCTGTCTGTAGTGGCCGAATTGCCAATTTTCGGGGAATATTTTCTGGAATAAAAAAATTATATGAAAAGACACACCATAAGGGGGTCAGTGTAAGACATAAATAAACGTCAGAGAATTTTGGTAATTAGGGGTACCTTTTGTAATTTAGCTTAAGTCCAGGTGAATTTTTATAATTGACCAAGATTTGTGTGCTTACTCAAAAAGAGGTATATCTAAATTGATTTTGGCTATGTTTATTTTTACGCGTAAATCACACTTGGCTCCCTAAAGTTATATTTAATAACAACTAGATGTAATTTGATTCTTTGAATCAGAAAAAGTATGTATACTACCTCTTCAGGTTTGGTGTTAGCCGAGATTTAGGTATGGTTTCGGTATGATTATCGAATATTTTGATCAACATCATGAACCTACCGTATCTAATAACATTGAAAAAGCCACACCAATATCGTACCAATAATTACAGTACCATTAATTGCGATGTACTGTCATTTAATTTACTGTTACCTTCAGTGCGACGTAATCAGTATGTTGTATTCTACCGATCACAACTCGAACGATATTTCAAAGTGAATAGTAAAAATCTTGCAAAATCAACAAGTTAACTCTTTAATTTCATAATCAACAACTTCCCTCCTTGTAAAATATTTAGCAAACATCTATTAATTATTTAGGCAATGTTTGGGAGCGTTTTGGATCTTATTTTGATTTCATTTTGAGGAAATATGTTTTGGGGGAATAATTTGAGAATGAAAGTAATGTTTGTTTGTATTTTGGAAGGAGACAAAATACACTGTTGCAGTCAAAATCATGTTTAAAGGTGTTAGAAAAATGTATTTTTGAGGAAAAAAATTGAAAGATGAAGTGATGTTTATTTGTTTTTTAGTGAAGACATTTTTTACTGTAGCAGTCAAATCATTTTACTGTAGCAGTCACATCATGTCTGAAGGAGAAATGCTTCCAAACATAGCCTTATAGTTTAGAAACTTTACTCTCCTTTCTCTCTCTCTCTCTCTCTCTCTCTATAAATACCACAAATTATTTTATTTCCGATATTATTAATTCATTCTTCACCGTCGAAAAACCCCAAACCAATCCCAAACCCTAGATCTGCAAAAATCAAAACCTCTAATGGGTTCCAGGCGATCAGATTTCGGCGATGGCGCAAGCCCTGGGTTCGTCCGTCCTTCAATTTCAGCTTATTTTGCATTAATTTATATGTAATTGACCTATTCAGCTGATTGATTCCGATTATTTTGTTGAACAGGAAGATTTTCATTGGGGGTCTGGCAAAAGATACTACTTTAGGTTGGGATTTTATTGTAATTCGTTTTGTGTTTCACAATTTTTTGATTTTTGCGCCGCCCCTTATTTTGATTGAAAAATAAACTAAACTATGCAGATACCTTTGTGAAGTACTTTGGCAAGTATGGAGAAATAACGGACTCTGTAATCATGAAAGATCGGCACACCAGCCGGCCACGGGGTTTCGGCTTCATCACGTATGCCGACGCTGCGGTGGTTGACACTGTTATCGCTGAAACCCATATCATCAATGGCAAACAAGTGAGATTTGTTCGATGTTTTAGATTATTAATTTGTTTTTTATTTTGTGTAATGTGATGCTGAACGTCGTTGTTAGTTTAGTTATATAGCACATCTCCTTGCCTATGAATTTAGATGGAATGCGTCTTTAATTTTATAAAGAGCTCACGTAAATTGGGGTATTACAAGATTTGTTGTTTTGGTTTGCGCATGTGGTTCTCTATATCTAGTTGCTTAATGATCAGTTACGGTGTTATGTGTGTGGATAAGATGTAGTTGATTTAAGTTTTATAGGTATTATTTTCTTATAGTTTGGGTGTTGCATTGATGTTGTTGTGGATGATATGCATTGTTTCAAAACGAGTTTTTTTGCAAACTGAGCTTGCCCTTTTCAGTACGTTGATTCCGAACTCATATGTATGCAATATTTAGAGAAATCCTGTGTTGTCAATAATTTTGTGTGAGGCTAAACTTTAAAGCCTGAAAAAGCAGTAGTAAGACACTGCATATGAACTTGTGATCATCCCTCAATGTGGTGGTTGATCTTCGATGGAAAACCTTATCATTCACAAATACCTATATAGTTCTTGCTATTACACAATCATTGTTCGTTATTGAATGTTAACGTAGAATAAGAAGATAGGTTGTTATGTGTATGCTGTCTTAGTAATGTCTTGTATGTTGTAGTTGCTACCCTGTATGTTTCTTAGTTACTGAACTTACCTTAAGTATATTTCTTGGACAGGTCGAGATTAAAAGAACAATTCCAAAAGGAGCTGGTGATTCCAAAGATTTTAAAACAAAAAAGGTTTTTGTTGGTGGGATCCCTACTTCTGTTACTGAAGGTGCACATTTTTTTTTATTTCAAATTTTCATTTATCGATAATATGTTTATTTTTACACTAACTTCTTATGTTCTTTAAACGCGCTGCTGGAAATGGTCGTTTTGTATAGACGAGTTGAAGAGTTTTTTTTCCAACTACGGGAAGGTGGTTGAGCATGAGATAATTCGAGATCATGTGACCAAGAGGTCTCGTGGTTTTGGATTTGTTGTATTTGACAATGAACAAGTTGTTGATACTCTCCTAGCTGATGGAAATATGATTGATATGGCGGGTACCCAGGTAAGTCTCTTGCAATATTAGTTGTGCTCGTGCTTTGTCGTATGGCTCTTTCAAGTGCTTCAGTTGTGATACGTCAAAGCTATTTTAGAGAGCATCGTCAAAATATTTTAGTGATTTCACCAACCTTTAAGCAAATTACTACTATGAAAGGATTAGGGCATAGGCTCCCTTATGATATATTTAGTGTTGGCTGTCAAACTATTTTAAGGTGGTAGTTCTAGGTTAACTTGCTTCTTATGTTGTAGGTTGAGATCAAGAAGGCAGAACCAAAGAAACCCTCAAACCCAACACCTGCACCTGCATACGGTAGTGATTCTAGGGGTCGTGCATATGGTGATAGTTATGGTGGTTTCAGCAGCTCCTATAGCAGTCTTGGCAGTGGCGGTTATGGCCCTGCTTCTTCTTATAGGTCAATGGGATCGGGTCTTGGTCCTAGGTTTGGTGACTATGGTGGTTATGGTGGTGGTGGAAGTGAATATGGGGGTCGGTATGGGGATTATGGGAGTAGCGAATTCGGTTATAGGGGTGATGGCCCCTCCCCCGGCCCCCTTGGCTACTCTAGTAGATTTGGTTCTTATGGTGGAGGCTACGGTGGGGGGTACGGTGGTAGTGGTGGTTTAGGTTCCTATGGCCGAGGCGGTGGTGGTGGTTATGGTGGGAGTTACGGTGGTTCTGGATCAGGTGCCAGTTATGACTCTGGCCCTGGTGGTGCAGGTGGTTATGGTGGAGGTGCAGGTGGTTATGGTGGTGGTGCAGGTGGTTATGGTGGAGGTGCGGGAGGGGGTACTTATGGAGGTAGGGCAGGTTATAGTGGCAGTAGTCGTTACCATCCTTATGGCAGGTAGATGTGTCCCTCTTGTAGGACTTCACTCACGTCTCTTTTGCTTATTTGCTTCTCGTGGCTCCACAGTTGACTAGATTTTTCCGAGTACTAGCAAGGAGACAATTACTAGAAGACCCGAAGAACCCTAGTGATTTTTGTTGTTTTAAATTTCTACTCTTTTTCTTTTTTTATAAGATCAACGAACTAGACAACCTCTTTGAGATGCTATGAAAGGCTGCTGTTTTAATCTAGAGGGATTGTCCTGTATGAAGTGTATTTTGAACTTGGTTCCATATTTTAGTGTAGAACGGCCTTCTGCATTATGTTTCTCCTAGTTCTTTTGTTTCGTTTATCTAGAACCGAGGATACAGGCTCAAGTAATTTGTAGACCATGCCTTTACTAAGCTTTGCACTTACTAGTTACTTTTGAATTTGTGTTGTGACCAGGTTTTGTTAAATTGCAGTTAGAGTATAGAGAAAATTATGTTAGTTTTTCTTTGTCTATGTTTTGATAGTGCACATGAGTTGGGAAGATATCGGTATAGAGCTTTGAAATATAAACCGGGACTTGGGTAGAAATTGAAAATTCTTGGATTTATTTAATGGTTTAAGATCACTTAAAGAAAGCCATCTCAGAAAGCAGGTTTTTAGACATGTGATGACTTGTGCAGTGACCGAATCTTCACTAATACTTACGTTTTTTTTTATCTAACAATATCTGATTTTATACTGCTCGAGATCCCAAAGGACGAGTTTTATCTTCTTCAATTGTTTATTGCATAAATTTAATATTTTCAAAAGTGTATTTTAGCAGGTAATGGCTGTGCAAAGATGATTACAATTGTGTTTTTTTAATGATAAAACTGCCCTGTTTGTGTTTAGGGGTGGGCATTGTGACTGAGGATTGTTGTGGTTTTTTTTAATAATGATATATAATTAAAGCTTTATATTTGAACTATTATGAACTCTTTTTTTATTTCATAATCATAATAATTGTCTACATTTAAATATTAAGATCTTACTTTGTGTGATTAAACTTATTTTTTGATATTAACTAGTTGAAGTTATTGCTAATTTTTTTATTAATATTATTTATTGATATTTTTTTTTATTAAAATATTTTTTGTAGTTCCTGGTTTACAACTATAAATATATTAATTTTAGTGTTTTGAAATTATAAATTGATGTCTTAATAAATCAATTTTGTTTTCCAATTTATTTAGGTAAAAAATTGGATTTATATAAAAATATTAAGTTCACAAATGTTAACTTAAAGTTCAAAGCTATTGCAAAGATGATTTTGTGATTATGACTTCGAAACAAAAAATACATATTATAATCATCTTGTTTCAAAATGTGGAGTTCGAATGAGATAAAATGAGTACAAAAGTGATAATATTCCATATAATCTAGAAGATTTCACTAAATTTTATAGTTGAGGGGTGATTGTAATTACCCAAACAAGAGGGGGATTTTCGTAATTTGACCATATCTCAGGGGCCGGTTGTAATTTACCCTAGATTTCATAGGGTTGCCCTACGTATCCAACCCTCATTATGTATTTTTATATATTAAAAAATACTAATTTTTTAGAAATATTTTGATTAAATAAACTATAATTTTATTTTTGATTACGAACTCTTAACTTATCGAACAATATTCATATTTTATCTAATACATTATCTATTAAATAAAAAAAAAAATTCTTCAAACTTTAATTAATATACAAAAACTACAATATAAGCAACTCAAACAAGATTGGTACTTCTGCAAATCGGGCAAGTATCGTTGTTCACAAGCCACGCCTTAATACAAGCAACATGGTACCTATGTTTACACGCAGTGATTCCCGCAAGAGCATCTCCGTATTTATATTCCTCCAAGCATATTGCGCAGCCACCGCCGTGGGCCCCACCTTCTTCTTTATTGCCGAAAGTTTCGAAAACGACCGTAAGCGGACGTGGATTATTGGTGTGGATTGGTGCTATTATCTCCCGCTCGCTACTCCATGGAAATAGCATGGACACGCATCTTACAAACATGCATAGTAGAAAGAGCATCGCTAGTACGGACAAAGTTAGGATCCCTAATTGATATTCTAATGAATATTCCCCCATGGTTTAGGGTTTTCACTTTTTCAGTTGTAATATATTCTGCTGTTTGATGTATTATAGAGAGAGAGAGATATTATACATATATATATTATATATATATATATATATATATTATAGAGAGATATTATATATATATATATTATATAGGGCAAATGGCAAAAAGGCCCATCACATGGGACTTAAATGCATTATAGTCCACACAAAAAACAGTCTCTCAATTAAGCCCATCCCCATGTCTTTAGTCTAAAATACCCTCATTAATATAATTCTTATCAATTCCACCCATTATGCTCTAACTTCTTTAATATTACACATTGACCCCGGATTTAAGTGG